ATGCATTTATTGTAAAATGTATGGGGAAACAATACACATAGAAATGTACCATTCCAAAAAAAAGTACAACTTTAATTGTATTTATAAATACATTTAATAATGTATGAAAACTTGGATACCTTCTGAAATGAAAATTGTATTCCAGTGTCTTAATATTATTAATTATTATTATTATTAATTATATTAGCCAATGAACCTTTACCATGACAACAAGCGTTGTAGGTACTGATTCTTTGTAAAAATGCAATTATGATTTGATATACTGTTTATTTGAAACACATTTTGTGTGACTGTCTTACTGCATTCATACATGGTCAATGCAAAACACAGAAGTCAGTACCGTTTAGTAATATCTGTAACCTTTGTTAAAACTACATGCATTTGAAAAGATATAATAACAAATATAAATAAGGGCATTTTTAAATATATATTTAACATTTTTGGGCCATTTTCATACGTGATTATATGTGTATGGGCGGCCAGTACAGTTTGTGAGAGAGAGGCCAACAAAAATACTGCAGATGGATGAGTGAAGCGCAAAGGTTACAAAACCTGTGAAAAGGAATTTAGTAACAGCTAACCTCAAAATTAACAAAATTTTTTTTTAAAACTTTGAGAGGTCAAAAAAGCAATTATTCATCATAAGGGGTGAAGAACTTGGACCATACTCGAGAGAAAAGGGACATTTTTGGCTCATTCACTCATTCGTCTCAGTTTGCTTCAAAACGATCTCTGGTATGGTTCGTTTGATGTATGATCACAGTACAGACTAAAACACATCTAGACTGAATGAATCGTTATCTCCTCTCTGCAGGACGTCTCTGGTTCCTGAAAAAGACGAGTTTCTGATGCTGTTTTAACAGGTGCATGTGCTTTATCACCTCTTTGTACAAGACCTGAATGGGTACTTAAACAGATTTGGATTTTATGGCATGTTTGAAGGCATTACAAAATACTCAATACTCATTTGACTGCATACATAACTGATAATATGTGTTAAGGCCCCAAGGTTTCTCCGTTTTTTGTAAAACAGGGAGTCACTCAAGGCTTTTACAGGATGTTCACCCTGCTTTGCATTGTGTAATGCAGGCAGCCACGAGTTTCACAAGTATAATATTACAAGTCATATAAAAACAATGAACTCAGATAGAACAGAGGAAGTTTGGTGGACATGATCACAGATATTGTATGTCATAAAATCTGCCCAATCAGTTGTGACCTTTTGCTCAGATAACTTTTGACATCTTTTGGTTCAATGTTAATTATGGCAGTGTGAACGCTAAGAAAACCAAAACTAAAATGCATCAATGAGTGTGTTTACATGCTCTTAAAAATCAGATAATTGCAGAAAATCAGATTTTGTCAGTAATCCGATCAATGCGTTTGTCTGATTACTCATGTGCATGTAATGTGAAATTCCTGGTCTACATGAGTCAGACAGTAATTGGATTTCTGCTTTGAAACTAGCCAATAAAATCACACAAGAAGACGTGACGTAAACGTAACATAAAACTCAAACTTCATGTTGCAGCTTTTTTTTTAACATCGCACTGCCTTAGTTAAAATATGAACATACAACATCTAGAAGATGAGGAATTTTTTAATCCTTCATTTCGTCAAGCATGTAGATGGTTTCAGTGTCGCTCAAAGTGTTTTGCTGCGTGTTGCAGCAACGCTGATTGCCTATTTCCAATACTATGGTCTGTTTTCACACATGCACAGACTGAGAAATCCGAAAGAAATCATAGTAAGAGTTCACATGCACTGAGAAATCCGATCACTGAGCCAAAACCCAGCTCTCTTTGTGCAATAGAAACCTAAGAACCACAAGAAACTAAGGAAAGAGAAAAAAGAGGTATAAACCACACCCTGAGGCCTTTTTTTGTCTGATTTTGAAAATATGTGACTGATTTTTCCAGCTATGTGCATTGTTGAAAAGTGATATGGTAATTGATAGGCTGCATTATCTTCAGATTTTTCAGTTGCCTCAGGGCTACTGTGGTTAAAGCAAGCTTTTTCCCGCAGGCCTCTAACTGAAATAAGAGAGCGCATGGTGCTTCTGTCCCGCTGTAGTCTAACTACAGAGGTCCACATAGAGTGCAGAGTTGCAGAGTTTAACTAAGTATGTCCTTTCAAATGGAACTTGGCTATAGAGTGATGTCCAAAGAAACACTCAGCATTTGTTCACAAAAACAAGCCATAAGACACACATTTTTGAGTGCAGAGAGTCCTGAAATGATGTTTAGTCCGAAGAGAAGACATAAATTATTTGATAAATACTGGGCAGGTTTTCTTACATGCTTAAATCCTATAAACATTTGAGTCATTTGTGGTGTAATGGTGCAATGACCTACATTACATAGACAAAAGTATTGGGACACCTACAGGAGCTTTTATGACATCCCATTCTAAATCCATACGTATTAATATGGAGTTGGTCTCCTTTTTGCAGCTATAACAGCTTCCACTCTTCTGGGAAGCTTTCTACAAGATTTTGGAGTGTGTCTGTGGGATCTTTTACCCATTAATTCAGAAGTGCATTTGTGAGATCAGACACTGATGCTGGACGAAAGGGGCCTGTGCTTGCCATCTCTGTTCTAGTCCATCCCAAAGATGTCTAATCCTATTACAGTACTTCGCTTGATTTCAGGGAGCTATTTAGAATGACCCATTCTTTCACAAATGTTTGTAAAGGCAGACTGCACAGCTGGGTGCTTGATTTTATGCACCTCTGGCAAAAGGAGAGAATAAAACACCTGAAGTCAATTATTAGAGGTGTGTCCCAATACTTTTGTCAGTCTGGTGTATTTCTAATGGCTTTTGTGCTTTATTTACCTATACACCAAACATACAGTCTTTCTTTTTTATCTTACTATAGAAGCACTGCTTGGGTATGATGGTAAAGGTGGGGTGAGTGAAATTCAAATTGTGTTCCCTTTTTTACATGTTAAGCTTTCAGATATAAAGAAGAAAAGGAAACATCATGTAGAACTTCATGACGAGAAAGGACAAGCACTGCAACGCCATGTCGGCAGAGGTGTGATTTGTGGAAGCTTTTAATTAAAGTCCTATACAGTATAATTATGTCTGAAACAGATTTAGTCTCCTCAGTGTTGAGACCATTGTTAGCAAAAGTGGTTACTCAATACTAACATTTTCAAGCACTTGAGTACAACTGCTGATTAATTTGTACTTTCATAAGTATTTTCACCTGCTATTTTTACTTATGCACAAGTATATAAGTGAGGAAATCTACAGCTCAGTTTAATCCATTTAGTTTTCTTTTCATTTCTTTCTTCTCTGTGAGTTCAGCTCCTGAGCTGCTTCACTGTTGCTCACTCTCACTCTGGAGCTTTGGCCTTTTATTTTAGACCAAAGAGAGAAGAATATAGTGTAACGAACTTTATTCCCTCTGCTTGTAGATGCTGAGTCAGCTTAGAAGTCCCACTGTAGTTAGCAGTTGCTTTTGTGCATTGTGCATTGTGATTTTTCAACACAGCAGCATAAAGGAAGCATGATGATGTACATCAGGTCATTCAAGGTCATCTGGTGACAGGAACCAAATGTCCACCTATTAAAGCTCCCCACAGGCAGACAGAAAACTATTACATTAAATGGTTATGAATACAGTGCGTGATGCCTGAGACAGTGAGTGCGTTTACATGCACTCAATAATCCGATCATAATGTTTTTTTTGCAGTTATCTGAATATTCAAATGGTCAGGTAAACAGCACACTCCGATTTATTAGATCGGAGTAAGGTCTAGAAATGGTATGAAGAAATCAGATAAAGAGAGCTGGACTTTAGCTCAGTAATCAGATTTCACAATCATATTCAGTGCATGTAAACTCTTACTCTGATTTCTTTCGCTTTTCTCAGTCTGCACATGTGCGAAAACAGTACTGAAAATAAGCGAGCAGCGTTGCCATGAGATGGCAGCAAAACACTTTTGGAGTGATGCTGAAACCAAATACAAGCTGAACGAAATAAAGGATTTAAATATTCTTCATCTTTTAGATGATGTATGTTCATATTTTCAGGTAAAGTGGCGCAATGTTTTTTTATAAATAAGCCGCGGCATGAAGTTTGAGTTTTATGTTATGCTTACGTCACGTCTTCTTCTGTGAGTTTATTGGCTGATTGCAAAGCTGAAATCTGATTTACTGCCTGACTCATGTAAACCCGGAGTTTTTCTATTATCTGATTACTCAAGTGCATGTAAACACACTCATTGTTTTACGAAAAGGTTTTTCTTTATTTATTTCCACTCTTGTACTATATATGAGCTGAAACACTCCTTATAACTTCAGCATAAATGGGCGGAGCTAAATTGCTGCAGGCTGAATAGGAGGATAAACGTAAATGCTTTGGTTTTTCTGACATCCCAAAAACAATTAATCTAAAACAGGCTTAGTTTCCATATATAAGCACTGTAAGGTTTGGGGAGTGAAACTTTAACAATGTTTCCACCCAAATCTTCTACTTCAAACAATAAAAAATATCATTTTCCATAATATGGGCTCTTCAATGCTTATAAAAGCTTCATCATAAAAGGCTGTTAAGGAAAACGATTACAATACAGTGCCTTTTACAACTGTTCTTTAGTAACGAAAATGGTTCTATATAGAACCTTGAACACTCAAAGAACCATTTGCATGCCTACAGGGTTGTTTGCATCATGAAATGGATCTTCACATTGATGGAAAACATGTTATATACGACTCTATATAGCATTGAAACAGGTTCTTCTATTGTTACAAGAACCTTTTTCAAAAAGGTTCTATATGTAATCATACACAACACATTCATCAATCTGAAGAACAATTTCATGATGCAAAGAACCCTTTAAGCATGCTAATTGTTCTTTGAATGTTCACGGCTCTATATAGAACCATTTTCTTTCTAGATGGAATGCATCGCGGTCTGATGTTTTTCTAGCAGAGTGGTGATTTTGGACTGTAAACAAGAGAGCCACGGCCTGTTTGCTGGTGGTTATGAAAGCGGTCCTCAGGGAACTTTCAGATCCAAGGTAGGTTGGAGCAAAAATGTGGACCGCCTGGAGGTCCCTGAGGACAGGGCAGTTGTAGACAAGACATGGTGACCCCTGGTTCCTATCAGCACCACTGTAAGGAAATCTCTACGATGAACCACTTCACACTAAACCACTCCGAATTAAATTTCGAAAAAGCGGTAGAACTGTCCTTCAGGGTGTTTTCTGAGTGTGAGTTTAGGCTACTCCCCACCTTTGAGTCGCACACTCTGTTGGCGATACTCAGTGATAATAGCTTATCACTAATCCGCAGCGAACAGAAAACGGCGCTCGTGTCAAGCTCGCGAGGACTACAGGTGCCGCGAGGTTCGTTGTTTTAGATTTGTCGTGTTTTTTCTCGAGAAACGGACTCGTCGTGATTAACACGTCTGGTAATTACCTCGTAGACACAGAATAGCTCCATAGGGAGGCGTCTGGAGGAACCACGCTCAGAGAGGAGAGCAACAGAGGAGCAGAGAAGGAGAAAAGAAGCCACCGGCTAAAATTACCGCAGCAAAATCCGGCATTTTACCTGAGGAGCGGAGGACAGCTCACCACAGAGGTTTCTCAAACTCGTTCACTTTTCTTCCTCGACATTTGTTTGTCAGCGACTGAACTCCTTTTTGCTCTCGTCTGTACAGAGTGATCACCGCACTGTTAAGCAGCTTCAGCCTCAGAATGAGGATTAAACTTCGACGTCCTTCACTATTTGGAGTTTTTGAGTGTGTTTATGTGGAGCAGTGAAGGAACACCCTCCCACAGCAGCGGCGCTGGTAAGAACTCATATAACAAAAGTGTTCAGACACCTGCTTTAGTACATATCCAGAGAATACAGGTGAACCCTTACACCTCTCAGCAGGTTCCTTTTTCACCTCTTCTCTATTATCCTGGCTTTCCAGGTTGCTAACGTTGTCTGTGTTGTTGGGTTCAGTTCTTGCCAGCTCCAACAAAATGGAGCTTTTCAGGTGGGTTTGTGTGGTGCACCTCTTGATCACAATAGAAGCCGAGCCATGATCACTGTGCTGCCAACGAAAGGAAGAAAGAGATTCTTCACTCTTAAAAAATATGTTCTTCAAGGCTTCTTAAGTAAAGAAAATGTTCTATATAAATCCATGGACACTTAAAGAACCCTTTACATGATTAAAGGGTTCTTTGCATCATGTAAGCGTTCTTCAGATTGACGCAGAATGTGTTGTATATGGTTTATATAGAACATTTTTGAGAAGGATTCTATGTAGCACCAAAAAGGGCTCTAAAGGGTTATGTCTAGAACCGTGGACACTCAACGAACCCTTTGCGTGATTAAAGGGTTCTTTGTATCATGAAAGTATTCTTCAGATTGATGTAGATCATGTTGTATATGGTTCTATGTAGAACATTTTTTTAAAAAGGTTCTATATAGTGCTGAAAAGGGTTCTAAAGGGTTCTATCTAGAACCGTGGACACTCATATAACCCTATGCCTGATTAAAGGGTTCTTTGAATCATGAAAGCGTTTTTTCGGATTGATGGAGAATGTGTTGTAAATGGTTCTATATAGAATGTTTTTGAAAAGGGTTCTATAAAGCACCGAAAAGGGTTCTACATAGAATCATGGACACTTAAAGAAACCTTTGCTTGATTAAAAGGTTCTTTGCATCATGAAATGAAAAGCATTCTTTATAGCACCAAAAGGGGTTCTAGGGTTGAGCTTGTAACAATGGATTCGTTTCATGAGGCATAAAAACCTTTTAAGCATGCAAATGGTTCTTTGAGTGTTCAAACATTGTCTTTACTAAATAACACCCGGAAAACCACCTTTTTTAGGTACTAAGTTGCCTTGCCACCCCCTATGTGTCCCATTCTGCCATGAATGATTAAAAAAAAAAATACTTAAACAGCTGTAAAAGACACCATATTGTAATTGTTTTGTTTAACAGCCCTTTATGATGCTTTTTTACAGTGGCGGTGATATAAACCAGGGGTCACCGTGACTACAACACAAATATAGCCATATTATTTACTATCCAAAACCACCAGTGAACCTACACATGTCTTCTGAGGTTATATACGTTATATAAATATGTTGTTGATGGTGAACCAATGGAAAATCTGAACAGTACGTTTTCTTTGAGGCTAATTTGCCTCTCAACGATGTTTGTGCCCATTTTAACAAATAGGTTTTATGCCAATGTCTCAAAACTGTCATAAAACAATGTCCAGGCAGCATATTCTTAATCACCATGTGGTATAGTAGCTTTTATTTAGACTTTCCTTGCTTTTTATGAAAGTTTCAGAAATGTACCTTCCACAAAGTTCATATATGGTAACAGAGCCAGTTTTTAATTCACTGTTTTTGTGATGTCAGAAAAACCAGTGTATTTACACACATCCCCCCATTCAGGCTACAGCAGTTTAGCCCCGTCTACTCACATTAAAAGGGGTCTTTAAAAGGTGTGCTTTTTATATGAGGCAAAGTACAGAGCAGCCAGTCAGAACAGACCTCATTTACATATATCAATCGTAATAGCACAGTAACAGCCTGTTTAATTCTAAGCCGTGTCTAATCTTATTTACAAAAGGCTGGTTATCATTCCAGCAAAAGAGGAGAACGCATGACCAGAGATTAACTGATTAAAGTTGCACTGTGTTTTCTTTTTGCTAAAATTGAAAGAATGTCTTTACATCTTTCCGGCACGCACAGGCTCCAAAGAAGGTTCTGCTGATAAAGATATAACAATAGTGGTTCTATTAATAGCACTTGCTCAGAAGACACACACTTCACCAAGTTTTGACTGAGTTCTCTGAATTCTCTATCAACGTGCTTCCAATCATCAGATTCATCCCCTCAGGGAAGGGGTCCGAAGCACAACCCACGTTACAAAATGTGGTTCTGCACATTGTGTAATACACATTTCCACCAGAGAGGTCTCCAAATCCACAAATCTTACCTAGTGTAGCATTTTAAAAGTGGATTCAGGTGAGCTCCTGTTTGTTTGGAATGAAAGTCTGTGGCCTTCAACAGACTAAGTGTACCAGAATAAACTGTAAACACCATGGTATCCACCCAACCAAGTGTATGTTATTACCACAGTATAATTACTACAAACATCTTTTTCCGGAGAGAATGGAACAGTTTTCTTCAGCTTTACATGAAAATGAAACTGTTTTTTTGAGATAAGGATGTTATCTGTTTGAGATCTTGCAATAAACAAAGTGTTTTCCTGCCCTGCCCTGAGTACGGTTTAACCGTGTGAGACTCGTGTGAGACCTTAAAATGTTAATATAACCGTTCTTCAGGGGTTTTTAGTGTAGACAGTGGTTCTATAAAGGTCCATGAACACTCAAAGAACCATATGCATGCTTAAATGGTTCTTTGCATGGTAATATGTTCTTCACATTAAAGTGGAATGTGCTGTAGATGGTGCTATACAGAACCTCTCTGAAAAGTGTGTTTATATAGCAGCCAAAAGTGTTCTTCTATTGTAACAAGCTTGGCATCGCAATAATAGAAGCACCCTTTTGGTGCTATGTAGAACCCTTTTCAAAAAGGTTCTACATAGCACCATATACAGTACATTCCCCTTCAATCTAAATAAGCTTTTAATGATTCAAAGAATCCTTCAAGCATACAAATGGTTCTTTGAGCATTCATGGTTCTATATGCAACCATTGTCATTACCAAAGAACCCTGGAAGAAACACCTTTTTTAAGAGTTTACCAACACCTTAGCAACTACCTGGGATACCATAGCAACAGCATGGTCAAGTCAGCTTAAGGTTCGTTAACAAACTTCCCCCTTTTATTTGTGATTATGGTTTGATACTTTATGTGAATGTTCATTAAAAACCTGCTAACACCCTTATCCTTTTCTAAAGAAAAAAGTCATGACAACAAAAAAGGTACAGTAGGAAAATACGACTTTGATTTTGTGATGTGACAAATTATGTTGTTCTCATGAAAATTACTGGAAATTATGATCTCGGGAAAATGACATTTATCATGTTGTTATAATGCCAACTAAACGTTGCTCTATTTTTTATGCTAAGGGTCACCAACACAAATGTTAAGAAGAGACATTTTGTCCGTTCAATAGAGATCAAACCACCATCTTGCCTGTAAATATGTCTAGTTTCTTGTAAAATGTCTCTCAACTTTAATTTTTTTTTTTATGAGGCTGAAGTCGCTTCTCATTCACCATTCCTGCATTGCTATGGTGAGCAGCAGTCTGCATGCCAACCTTCAGGGCTAAAGGGTGAATTAACAGTTACACATTAACTCCAGCGTTTATGACCATTTATTGTTTAAACTGTGTTAGAACAATCAGCAGAGCTTTATTTTACTGTAAAGGAGCATTATTTTATTTTCCTAAAAATCTAATTCTCCTGTGAAGCCACAACAGGGCAATAAACGAGCCACATATTGCCGACCCCTGTTCTATGCCAAATGCTGCATATGAGAGGAGAAAATTGAGGATTACATAGAATACAAAAATATTTTTTTTTCTCACATGAAAAATGAACAGAAGTGCCAAAGAGAACAACCCACAGCAAGACCAACTATGTGCATCATCACAAAACTAATATAATTGATAGCACACTTCCTTTTTTTTTGGCATGTTATAATTGCTTCAGAGCTGCCGTGCTTAAAGCAAATTTATAGCACATTGCATTTTATAAGTTCACTTGTAACAGTTTAAAATTTAAAAGGACATTTTAGCGGGATAGCAGTAACTTAAATAAGGAAACATGCATAGTCCATGCGTCCAGTTGGAAGTGGTTTAAAGCTGTCCAGGGCATGCAAGGTGGATCACATTGACTTTCTAAAGAATTTCTTGGCGCAGACACACCTAGAATTCTGAGTCATAAAAACCATCAGTGAAAAAATGACAAAACACAATAATAGCCAATCCGGTCCTGCCACTGGATTACCTTTGTTGTGCCTAAGGTGATGATTATACAGATCAGATAATTACAGTAAATAAAAAAAAAACAGAGTCATCAGCATTCTTCTCATTCATGTTGAACAGGAAAATCTGGAAAACGCAGGCCTGACTTCAAAGCGCTACTTGGAGACACTGTGAAAACAAAAGCCAGACAGAAAGATCACTGACCACAAAGGTCTGTAAAAGTCTTCCATCTTTTCTTTATCTACACCTGTTTCTCAACAAAATTCTTTCATTTTAGTGTAGATCGTTTGCTTTTACATGCACAGGCTCAGCACTTTTAACTTCCTTTATTTTTATTTTATTTGTAAACAGCAACAGTGTTGGTAAGTAATTATTTAATATTTCAAACAGGCCTAATGTCCAGAGAATAGGCCCCTCTGTTTATTTATATAAGGAAATTCCACACAAGTTACCAGTTACCTTTTTCACCTCCACTCTTTGTCATCCACATTTTCCAGGTCTCTAATGTTTTTCGGGTTGCAACCCCAACACAATGGACTTTGTCAGGTGGATTTGTGTGGTTTACTGTTTGATTGCTGCACAATGTAAGTCATAGTTTTCAGTAACAGAGCAAATCCTTGTTTCTCTGAAAGGGGAGTTCCACCCAGTTTTCAAAATTTCAGCATAATTCAGTGGTTGAGATGTAAGCAAGGTAAATAAGTGGTTTGTTGTGAAATGGTTTATTGTAGGGATGTCACAGGCTGCATATTTGTAATCATTTTGTTTAGTGGCTTTATGTGATGACGATTTTATAGGCATTAAAGGATCCATATTTATTATCTTTTTACCTTGATTTTTTGTGATGTTTTCAAAACATACCATTTGTTCACCAGTCCTTACAGTCTATTAATTGACCACTGTAGTCGTGTCGTCATTCTGTAGTTGGTGCCATGCATAGGTTTTGAACATTTTTCTCTTGAATATCGCTGGATCCTCTGAATTACGAGGTTCTTAAAGAGTCGAAATGTGAACATTGCTACATGTTAGCTTAAGCTTGCACACTGAATTGACGTCATTATACTGGCAGCCTCCTTCAGCACGCTTTGCCAGTGTGGTTCTTTATCTGATACTCACAAACACTTTCTGTTCTGTACATAGCTTGATTTAAAAAGCTCTTCAAAATTGCCTGCACTCAGGCTGTTTCAGTACAGACTCAGCTTATAATTACAGCTTATCACCCCCTGATCAGCTGATTTAGGCTAGCAAAATATCCTAATTAATATTTTAATGCTATTAACATCTTCTGAGGACATTTTCTTAGGACATTCGTCAGCTTCTTGGTTGAATTTTCCCATTTCACCTTAAACAGTGCAGCAGTTACATTCTGTACTGCAGCTCCATTTAAGGTGGAACGAGAGATTTCGACCAAGAAGATAAACTCCTTCACCATTTTAAGGTGGAACGAGAAAATTCAAGAAGAAAAAGAAGCTAAATTCAGCCTAGTAGTAGTATTTTTTGCTGGAGTTGTAGGCTCGAAATTTCCTACCTAGAAATTTAATTCATGGGCATACCTATAAAAATGTGCTTAGTGACATTAAATTGATGCACAGTAGCTTTAGCTTGGATGTAGCAATATTAGTGTTAAGACTCTAACAACCTTGTAATTCGGAGGATCCGGTGATACTCAGGAGAAAAATAATCACAGGACAAAATGTATCTAAACATTTATATCTACAACAGGGTGTGATAGAAGTGATTTTTCAAAAACTCCATTCATTCTGGCCATAGAGAAATCGAGCTTAGACCTGGAGTTCCTCATATGGGCATGATGCGGACTACAGAATGACGCACGACTGTAGTGGTCTATAGAAACGAAGCTCATTTTGAATTGGTCAATTTTGTGAAGTCAGAAAAAAACAGTGCATTTACATATAGCCGCCCATTTAGCCTACAGCAGTTTAGCCCACTCACACTGAAGTTATAAAGAGTGTTTCGGCCTGAACTGCTTTTAGAATGAGACAACACAGAGCAGTCAATCAGAACAGAGCTCGTTTACATATATCAATCTTACAGGCACAGTAACAGAAACAGCCATCTTGGGAAATGGTCATGTAAAAGTGAATAAGGACTGTGTTTTGACCTCAGAAAAAAATTAAGTAGAGGTAAATGAAGGATATGAGCCTGTTAAATGCTTCAGACGTCTGGTTCCGATTATGGCACATTTAACATCAAACCACTCTGAATGACAGTTTAACTGTGCAGAAATTCACTGGAATTCCCCTTTAACTTTTAATGTGAATTAATGTAACACGATTTTAATCCAAAATAATTGTGTGCCTATTCTGTGGTTCAAATAAAGAATAAAGAAATAAATAAATCTGAATAAAGTGCATACAAGTGTATGATGTCTGAAAAATAAAGTGAATAGATTCCATCTGCATGTTCTCTCCAGTGCAGTGGACATGTTGGGGTCTGTCTGTGAAGTTCCTCTATAAGGAGCCCATCTACGTAGCATTGGGCAGGACGCTTGTTTTGGAAGCTCAGTTTGAGCTACAGCCTGGAGAAAATATCCGCATGGTTATGTGGGATCGTAAAAAGGACTCCGAGGTCAGGCTTGTCACAGATGGAAGACCAACTGACAGAAGAATATCTGTGGACAAGAATGGAGCACTATTGAAGCTGACTGGAGTCACAGAAAGCGACTATGGGTCCTATGTTGTTACCGTCACAGATGATAATGGAGACCAGACGCTTTCTTCTGTGGAAGTGCGAAATGTTCGTAAGTGCCTCTAGCTTCATTACTGGCTATGCAAAGGGAGATGATTCCCTTTTACAGCACCGTGATATTTGTTTATTCAAATATACCTGCTGCTCACAGCCAGTTACTATTCCATCATTAAATATTTAACCGATAACTCTATTTATTAACCCTTAACTCTGTTTAAGAGTACCAGCAGTTGGTAATCATAAGCCAGCAGTCTCAGCATGACACAACTTTTTAAAGGAATATTTAAACAGATTTCTGTCTAATCTCCATCTGCTCTGTCTGTAGTGTACTGTGGATTAGCACAGACAGCAACTTCAAAACAAGACCATGTATTTAGGAAAAAACTGAAAAGCCATTAACTCGATGACTCAAAAGACATTTCTAAGAGAAAAAGCTGCTGAATTCTTTGGTAAATGTTAAAAAATAAATGTGAAACGCATCAGTCAAAGTACTTGTAAATAAATCTATAAATCTAGGAGTTATCTTATGCAAGATAAGATTGGGCGGGGGGGGGTAGTCTCCAGTACTGGGCAGTCGTCCTAGGGATCCTCCCAGATTATCTTTGTTTTTTTGGCCACTTCAGGCTCAAACTGCACATTGGGAGTACTAGGAGATTTTACGGTCAGTGGTCTGAAATGTCAGTTGGGCAAACTAGAGCAAACCCCAACCTCATCCATTAATATTTGAAAGAAATAAAAGCTCACTGCAGTAGAAGTAGCTGGCCAGCTAGCTTAGTTAGTTAACTAGCCTACAGCTTCTCTACTCATCTGATCACTTGTAATCAGCAAATATCACATTAATGGAGATCAATGGCCTCATTCACCAACCAGTCTTAAGAAGAATTTCAAGAACACAAAGATGCGAACAATTCTGCGGTTTAAGAACACGTCATGAATCTGATGTAGACTTTTTCTTAGGATCATACTCAGGAACACATTTAACACAGTTAAAAAAAACTTAGCCCATTGATTTTCAGCTAACTGATTTCATTAATGATGGCATGTTCAGCATTTGTGTACAAGAATAGTCCTGGTTCTGCTTCCTAGCTGATCCGTCTTACAGCTGATCCACAGAAACTAACAGAACCATCGTTAATCATGTGGAACCCTTGTCTTACATTTTGTAGTTTCTACTCTGGCCTAAGGAACACACACATTGCATCATACATACAAAAACTGTGTTACAATTCTGCTTTTACTCCAGGTGTGCAAGTATTTATAACTGGTACTTGATCATTTGTTTAAGCGACTGAGCTGATTGTGATACTGTCATACTTAATGGATTGGTATCATACTAAATGGGCTATTTAGTATCACATGACATATACAGGGTGATTCAAAAAGATTCATCCAATTTCAAAATGATTTATTTCACTTGTAAATCATTACAGAACAATGCAGTAAATTGTAAATGGTTTAAGTGAGCATAAAGTTTATTATGTAATATTACAAGTGCTCAGTATGAACCTTCTTCAGCTGTACTGACAACATCAACACCACAGTCAAATTCATCTCATACTCGACTGAGCATGTCGGGTGTCACTGTACTCACAGCTCTTTCAATGCGATTTCGGAGATCGTCCAGTGTTGTGGAACCAACAACGAACGCTCTGAGCTGTTGGAGGTTCAAATCACATTGCACAGTTATGACAGATTCACTCTTATTGAAGTAGAGAACGCAAAACGCTTTCTGCTCGCTCAGGGGTTGCCTCTTCACAGACTGAAGAAAGCCATCTTCCGGTGACAGTCAGAAACTCTATGACCCCCTCTTTCATTTGGTATGTGATTGGTTCCTAGGCACCTCACAGTTGTAAAAATATGGCGCTTTGAAATCAGATTAATCTTTTTGAATCACCCTGTATTTTAAGTCTTCATATTGTAAAGAAACAATAACAGGTATCTTAGAAAAATACATGTAAAGTTATTAATCTAGGAGGTTCTAAGTGGTTATTTGTTCCAGAAACACTAACATTAGAATAAATACATGAACAAATAAAGAATCCATCGTGATTTGCTGTGTTAACTAAACCATTTTCTAAATCTTTTCTGAATGAAGTCTAGTATTTAGTCACTATCCGTACCTAGTTTATCTTATCAATCTTTCATTAAATTAAATTAGGTGCTGCTGATGGAACTGAAGAAATCCACGCGATAGCTGGATTGCAGTGAGAAGTCAGGAACCAAACCTTTGTTCTTCTAACAGTATTCATCAACTTACACAATAAACAACTTCACTGCCAAGCAACACATTATTTTTACTGTATTTGCATTTATTTATTATTTATTATGTGTTCCAATGTTATATAGTAAACCAAATACTTTAGATGCTAGTGGGGGGAGTGGTGTGCCCTGAGAACATTGACTCATTTGAGACATCACAATCTCATAATAATCTCATATAATAAACATGCAAATTACATTGTCATGTTTTGTGTTAATTGTAAGTAATTTTTTTATGGGGGGCCTATAAGATCGTAGTTACACCACTTCACTGAACAGCATACTGAAGGGAAAAAAATATGAGCTGTTAATTTGGCTAATTAGTGGAGTAACTGAATGTGTTGCGTGCAACTTTGTTTTTTATTTGCTTCATGTAACTGTCAAGTTGCACAGAATTTATATTGCAGGCCACTCACAACATGCAATTAGTTGCATTAAAGTTTCACCGTGTAAAGCCAGCCTAAAACCTGTATTATTACAGTTGTTTAAGATTATAGTTTAGAATATTTATTGACTAGTCAAATATTTATTCATGGAATTCAGCAATTGAAGACTGAAGATCTGTTATAACTGAATTTGAAGTCAACACAGTAGCATAAACTGTTGGAACAGTAATGTCAAGCAAGAATGTTTTCACACGTGGCAGTTTACAAGGAAGGGCAAAACAGCACAAAAAACTAATATGTGTGATGAATTATAATAATAACAAAGATGACAACTACATAATACATATTCTGTTTAATTCCCTCAATTATCAGAAAATATTAGATTTTTTACATTGACAGAATTTTTTCAACCTCACCCCATTTTGTCTCTCAACAGACTATTTTCTGGTCTGTTAACTGCACTAATGATCTTCAGCTTGTGCCTGTGACCAAATCACAATTTGCTAGAATGCTCTCCAAACATTTCCAAATATAAATTTTATTAAAAAGCTTTTTAAAAACATTAGAAGGTTTCTTGATGATAGCAAGTTCTCTGTATACTCTGGAGGATGACTGGGGTGAACATGTGTATCCATTGTAAGCTTAAAACACTAATAGATATTAGCATGTAGACCTATGGTTCACATTTTTGCTCTAACCCATCTCCAAATGTCCCAGACCAAGCCATTAAGAATTGGCACAGGCATAAAAGCTGGGTTTGATCAAAAATATATGTTAAGACATCTGTTTTTGAACTGTATTTACTTGCTAGTATAGGTTACATATAGATTATATATCAATACTATAGCAAATTGCAAGTAACGTTTAATGTGATTGCCGATTTCTTTCTAGATAAAGTAGTGAGATTGATTTTCCCTTGTACTTATTTGGTATGGGTTTATATAGATTTTAAAGAGTACCTTAGAAGTAAAGTAATGAGTAGTAATAGTAGTTATAAGTAATCCAATTACAGTTTGGAAAGGATTCTTTGTTGAGTAACAGCCTCAACAGTAGCTGTGCTGTGGATGTTAGTGTGTGTTATTGCAGATTTTAATGTACAAAAGACAAAGACAAAAGCCTTTTTCTCCCAGTCTGGACAGAATAGCCTTGACCTCTGTTGTCATGAAGGTATTTGAACACCTGGTCATAGCCCATCTGAAGGCCATCAGGAAGGACAAACATGAAAAAAAACAGCTGCGGCTAGGAATATATGTTACAGCGTCGGAGCCCTGGAACCTCATTACTGTAGCATGACAAAGTTATGTGCTTCTCACCCCTTCTCTTCAGTGTCTACACTCATAACTGTGTCCCTAAGAATCCAGCTGTGAAGATCCTGAAGTTTGCAGACAACACTACCATGGTGGGCCTCATAACCAACGGGTTAGTCTGCCTACAGAAAGGAAGTCGAGCAGCTGGGGCCATGTTAGAGAAACTTCTTAAGTCTGAAATCTTACCTTATCTGCTCAGTCACCATGACAACTGAATTTAGGACAGAAGCTATTACAGAACAAGTCTTAAGTTCATAATCTTATTCCAAAATTATACTATTTAAAGAATATTGCACTCAGAAAGTGGGATAGGATTATATAACGGAGGAAACGCAGCAATCCACGCTACACGTTTGTGTGATGTGTATTGTTTGTGTGATGTTTATGTGTAGATATGGCCGTGTGGTTGGTGATGCACAGAGAACCTGTTGATGTGATTGTTTTTCCTCTGGCTTTATATTAAGCTTATTTCATTTAATAGTCTATTCAGAGGATCTTAACTTTACGTAGTAGTTATTTATTTACAATGATTGTTAATGCTTTGTAGCTAGGTAAGTTACAGCATTCCTGAATCTGTGTAGATATTCATAATAGGTTAATGTTAGCACCTTCTTACACAAACCTGAAGTGCGTCATATTTGCCAGCTCGAATTTTTCCCATTCTACCTTAAATGGTGTGTCAGCCAGCTTCTTGATCGAATGTTCCCATTCCACCTTAAATGGTGCACCTTCAGGCACTAGAAAGTGACAGCTGCACCATTTAAGGTGGAACGAGAAAACTCGGAACAGGAAGCTGGTGAATAGGAAGTCAACTTTAGCTTCGTCCTTCTTACTGTGTTTTGGAGGGTTATTTTATTTTTATTTTTGTGTGTATTAAGATTAGAAGTGATTCACACATTGATGGATTTGCTGATGTGTGTGAGATTGTGTTTCTACCGAAGCGCTAAACTCGGTTTTTAACGTCATGTGCAGACTGTATACTTTCTTGCTGGTCCGAATGGCTAATTAGCATGATCAGTTATTTTAAGAAATGAAAGCTACCAAGAACAGTCCATGCATTTATCTATGTCTGAGGATTATAATAAACAATTTGTTGAAAATCGGTTGAGTAATAAGGAAGTTGCGGCTGATTTAATGTTGAGACTCATCACCCCTCAATACAAGTGAATTTGTTCACAAGTGGATCTTCATGGCGCTCCAACATGGCGGACGCTCAGACGTATCGCCTCGGATAGACAGACAACGCGGCATCTAGGTATATATATCTATGATCTTATCCTAACTCCGGATAGGAAAACAGTATTACAGAAACATCCTAACTAGACAAGATTGCCTAAATTCTGTTGTGACTCTAAAATAAACTCCACTGGCGTCTTCTGTTTTAACTGTCTGTTTCTATTGCTTTGTGCAGTGACGGGCAGTGTAGTTCACTATAATTAGCATAACTATGCTTTTTGTGTTTTGTTTTTTCTTTTTCTTTCTAACAGCGTTTTATAAACCCCAGACATTTCATACATGATCTTCCCCGTCCCTTACCTTCGAAAGTTAATGTTTGATTAAAAAAAACCCGTCAGATACAATATTACAGTGATGGTGATGGATAATGAGTAGACAGAGCTGAATGTGTGCCTGTTTATTAGGGGCAATAACGTTAGCGCGGTCGGCTAATGAAACTGAAAGTGTGGAGCAGTGATGCTCTGAAAAAACAGCACAAAGCGCTGACACAATATTGTACAATATACAATAAATATGTTTATCTTACCTTAGTTTTATTTAACCTTTTTTACCTCAGTAACAGTAGCTACCATTAGCTGTCTGGCTAACTAGCTTGTTTACGTTTCAGCTGTGCACATATGGTCGGTTGCTAGGTAACAGACTACCCGTGGGGCCGTATTACAGAAACTTCCTATCTTTTTGTCTTAAGATCAGACAGGTCAGGATAAGATTTTTCACAAATTCGTATTACAGAAGCAAATCTGATCTTAATTTAGGAATCTTATTCTATCTTACAGCATCTTACCTCAAGTTAAGAAATCTTAACTTACTCGTTCGACATCAACAATCAACTGTCATGTCTGTTACCTAGCAACCGCTGATATGTGCACAGCTAAAACCTAAACACAATCAAAGTAATCAAGCTAGTTAGCCAGACAGCTAGCTACCGTTACTGTTATACAAAATGGTCAAACAAACGAAAGCATAATAAACTGAAAGTTAAGAACATTGTGGCAGCCCTTTGTGCTTCAGAGCGTCAGTTTCAGTTTCATTTCCCAAACGCTTTAGCCGAGCGCGCTAACGTTATTTCTTCTAATAAACAGACACACATTCAGCTCTGCCTCCTCTTTATTTACTACCATCACTGTAATATTTTATCTGACAAGTTTATCAACATTAACAAACGAAGGTAAAGAGTGGACAGTGGAGATTGTATCTGCGGTGTTAGGAAAAAACTCAGTCAAGTCAAAGCAACGTTTTCAGTGTAGATAAATGTAACATTGGATAAACCAGAACTTAAGACAGCTCTAGGGTCGTCTTAAAGTTAGGACAGAATCTAGGTAATTTTGTCTAGTTAGGATGTTTCTGTAATACTGTTTCCTTATATGGAGTTAGGATAAGATTATGAAGTTAGGAACTGTTGTTCTAATAGCTTCTGTCTTAAATTTAGGCCAAACTGAAGTTTTCATGGTGACTAAGCAGATAAGATTTCAGCCATTTTCTTAATATGGCCCCTGGTGCAGCAGCAACAACTTCTAGCTGAACACGCGCATTTTATTTCCTTAAGAATGTCGGCTGCTAGAATACTGTATCAACCAAACACTGCATTCTGTTGCTGCTGTTGTGGTTGCTACCTCAGTGACTGCTATGCTCATATATGCTAGGCTAGCTGCTAATATATCATAATACATTACATCCTGCTTTGCACAATCTACATATTCTCAGTACCGTGTACTGTCTGTGCCTTGTTATGTATTTATTGCACTGTATTGTCTGCCCTGTGTATATTGTATTGTTTTGTACTTGTTGTATCCCTGTGTTGCACCATGGTCCTGGAGTAATGTTACCATCCACCATCCCCTCTCAATCTGAATGGTTCTGTGGTTTCCACTGTTGAGTCACTCAAGTTCCTGGGCAGTAAACTCCTTTTGTAACACAATGCTTATTCATTTTTACAAATATTTATATAATTCTGAAATGTGTTTACTCAGATGGGTAGATATTAATTTTGCATATGTACAAATATTCACACCTGAAATGCACTAATGCATTATAGAAACATGTATTGTGGTCTAACAAAGTCAGCCTTTCAGATTGTTTATGGAAATAATGGATTTCATGTTCTCTGGGCCAAATAAGAAAATGACCATCCTGATTGTTACCAGCATGAAGTTCAAAATCAGAGCGTGCGGGTGCTAGCCTGGACTGCCTGTCTTTTATTGAAAATGTGTGGCATATTATGAAATGCAAAATGATGGAAGAATAAAAAAAATTGCTTTCAGAACTGAATTTTACATATAAATTAAACATGTAAGGCATATATACAGGGTAATTCAAAAAGATTAATGTGATTTCAAAGCGGCATATTTTTACAACCGTGAGGCGCCTAGGAACCAATCACATACCAATTGAAAGAGGGGGTCATAGAGCTTCTGACTGTCACCAGAAGATAGCTCCCTTCAGTCTGCGAGATGAGACCCCTGAGCAGAAAGCGTTTTGCGTTCTCCACTTCAATAAGAGTGAATCCGTCATAACTGTGCAATGTGATTTTCGTCGGCAGTGAACCTCCAACAGCTCAGAGCATTCGTTCCACAACACTGGATGATCTCCGAAATCACATTGAAAGAGCTGTGAGTACAGTGACATCCGAGATGCTCAATGGAGTATGGGATGAATTTAACTATGGCGTATTAACGTATGTCTGTACAGCTGGAGGAGGTTCATACTGAGCACTTGTAAAATTACATAATAAACTTTATGCTCACTTAAACCATTGAATTTACTGCATTGTTCTGTAATGATTTACAAGTGAAATAAATCATTTTAAAATTGGATGAATCTTTTTGAATCACCCTGTATTTTCAGATGTTTAGAATAACACTGGTCAGCGTCAGCCTTTTTTAACTTTGCCATTCCATGCATATACAAGAACAAAGTTTCACGTGTTCCCCTTTGAACTGTTTTCTGATTGGAACAGCACATTTAGTTCCTGGAATTACAGATGGTAGCTTTCAACATAGTTATTTTCATTGCAAAGCGTGATACATACACTATATGGGGGGGCAGTCGTGAGCTGGAGGTTAGGGAACCGGCCCTGTGACCGGAATGTCGCCGGTTCAATCCCCTGAGCCTACAATACGTGACTGAAGTGCCCTTGAGCAAGGCACCTAACCCCCAACTGCTCCCCGGGCACTGTGTATAGGGCTACCCACCGTCCCAGGCAAGTGTGCTCACTGCCCCCTAGTGTGTATGCATTCACTAGTGTGTATGTACTTCACGGAGGTGAAATTTCCCTATTGTGGGACTACTATGGGTCACATAACTATAGACAAAAGTATTGGGACCTCTTAATCATTGAGTTCAGAGAAAATTTCTTCCATCCTAGACATTCCACAATCAAATGTGAGTGGTATTATCGAAAAAGAGGAAGCGTATAGGAGCCACAGCAACTCAACCACGAATTTTAAGACCACTTAAAATTACACAGCTTTCAGAACTGGATCATTTTGTGTCCTCAGTTCCCTAATCATAAAGTGCTGTTAAAAGGAAAGGTGATGTAACACAGCGGTAAACATGCTCCTGTCCAAACTTTTTTGGAATGTGTTGCAGGTTTCAAATATGGAATGAACTTGTATTAACAAAGAACAATAAAGTTCCCAGGGTAAAACATAAATTCTCTGTTTTTTGTTGTTTTCAATTGAATACAGACAAAACAGAATTTACTGATCACTGTTTTTATTGACATTTTATACTGTCCCAACTTTTTTGGGAGATTAAGTATTAAAACTTTGTGTATCATGATGTTTGTGGCTGGCACGCTTATGATTTTATCACTGGTCTGGTTTGTAAACAAAATTTAAAAAGAAAAACACTTAGCCAGAAAACCTAATAGTCTCTCTCTCTCTCTCTCTCTCTCTCTCACAAACACGCACACAACCAGAGAGGCCTCCTGTGGCAGTCCTTTCCCTGGAGTGTACTGTGGTAACCAAGGGAGCACAATGGGACAAGCCTGTGTTTTCATGGTGGGTGGATGGACAGGAGATAACCAATAAAACAGGAAACCTATCAGCAGATGGCAGGAAGCTCCACCTATCAGGCAGTCTGGGTGATAACTACACTTGCGTCATTGACAGCAGCCAGGGGACCAGCGTAGTGCAGCACTTAAGAGGTATTGCTCACTGCCCTGTTACAGCTGATTCAACTCATCAGCTACATGTCCAATCCTAAGGATGCTTGGGTTCCTTAGGATTATGAATGGGATTCTCCACTTTTTAAACAGCATAAATAAAAAAAAAACATTTAGCATATTGGGTGATGTAACCACCAATGTTTGTTTCATCCTGTAGCCCATGACCCAGACCCAACACCAACCCCAACACCAGTCCCTGAACCTAGCCCAAAGCCCGAGAGCCCTGAGCCCTGCACTGGACGATTTGTGGTCTTGTCAGTTATTGCTGTAATTTTAGCAGGGTAATGAATAATGTTATCATATAGTCTGAATACAATATATATTTTTCAACATCCAAATTTTCATCAACTTATTCTTCTTGAAAATGTATTCACAGGTTCTGGATCTGGGTGTGGTGCCGGGAAGTGAGAGACCAAACCACTCTGTGACTCTCCATTTCGATGACTCCAAATTAGATAGTCTCAACACTGTGCAGTAAATAAGAACAGAAGGCTTTTTCATTTAGAAATGTTATTTGTTTAGATTTTTGTTCTGTTAACTAAGACTGATTTGAAAAAACTGCTAAATAATGTAGGAAATTCAAATATCCCCTCATTTCATATTTAAATGTAAGCACTTTAAAGATATAATATTAAATGGGCAACAACTTTTGCAGTGGCCACATTTTTTCACTATATGTACAAATGTATTGGGACACCTACACATTACACACACAGGAGCTTTAATGACATCCGATTCTAAATCAATAGGCATTAACATGGAGTTGGTCCCCCTTTGCACCTATAACAGCTTCCACTGCTCTGGAAAGCTTTCTACAAGATTTTGAAGTGTGTCTGTGGGAATTTTTGTCCATTCATTCAGAAGAGCATTTGTGGGGTCAGACACCGATGTTGGATGAGAGGGCCTGGCTCTAGTTCATCCCAAAGGTGTTCGGGTGAGGGCCAATCAAGTTGATCCACACCAAACTCACCCAGCCATGCCTGGTGGACGTCGCTTTGTGCAGAGGGGCACAGTCATCCCACGAAGTTGGAAGCATCCAGATGTCTGAAATACCGAAGCATTAAGATTTCTCTTAACTGGAAATAAGGGGTCTAGGCCAAGCCTGGAAAACAGCCCCATAGCATTATCCACTGGACCTCTCCACCCCCCAAGGTGTTTCTGATAAACTGGCCATTGGGTGTAGGTGTGAGGGAGGTGTAATAAATAAATACATCTCTACTATTTTTACAGAAATAGCACTTTATTTTTATTTAACATAGAAATTAAACGTCTAAAATCTATATATTTTCAGATGTTCAGAATAACACTTCCACTTTTTTGACTTTGGCATTCTGTGTGTATACAAAAACAATAAAGTTTAATATGTTCTCTCTTTGAACTGTTTTCTGATTGGAACAACACATTCAGTTGTTGGATTTACAGATGGTAGCTTATTTATAGTGCACACATATTTCAGTGATGCATGGTAAATCATCTTAGTAGTAACCTAGCCCAGCAAAATGTCTTATTGGTCATCCCAGAAAGTACTCTGTGAATGTGAAAAAAGGAAAGCAGTGGTTTAGTACATTGGAGTCGCATTGGGCGTTTTAGATCAAGAAAAACACAACTTAAAGAGCGTGTATAGAATGTATAGATTTCATTATTGTACCAAATACAGAGCAAACTGCAAAGACTGGAAATCCAAAGAAGCTCCTGTGTAAGACTTGAAAAGTTTTAGACCTGATAAAATCATGAAAGTGACAATCCCTTTACTAAACATGGACTTTCAGTTCGGTTTACAACACAAGTGAGAATAATGCCTTTGGTCAGTTCAGGAAAAGGAAAAGGAAATCAGAAAGCTGCTCGGCTGAAAGCAGGGCGACGCCTAGCGACCTTAATGGCGGACATACGTACGTTTTTTTCCTTTATGCACCCGAATTCTGAGAATAGCCCCGCCCTCTCGTGCTACGATTGGCTTAGGAGTTCATAACAACAGGAAGACCAGCGTAAAGCCCCACCCCGCCGCCGTAGAACGGCGAATCGCTCTTTAGCCTGAACCACAAGCCAATCCTAACGCAGATATTGGAATGCTGCGAGCCAATCAGGGCGCAGAGGGCGTGGTTTGTCAGCAAACGGTCGATAAATAAAAGGTGCACTTTGAGCTGTAAGGGCGGTTCTAGAGCTGTTATGTCTTATAAACCCTGCTTTTGGCAACACACAGCGCTCATATTTCACTCAGCCCAGCATCAGATTGTGCTTCTTTTCTCTTCTCAAGCTTTTTCAGTCTAGTTTGGGAGGAGTCCTGATCATGTTAACCTGACTCGCTTTACTGCGCAGTGTTTGTGCTTAAAGGTTGAGAGGTCTAGAAACACTTGGTACTCCAATAGGTACAATTTTGGGGGGAAAAAGCTCACATCTGACTTTGTTTTTGCTCCATGCAGATATAATGTACATGATTTCTTTTCCTGCAGGTGTCCGTCATGGGACTCGGACCGCAGAGTCGCTGGGCTGTCCTCCTTTTCCAAGTCTTTGGTGAGATCTCCCTCTGGCGACTTTTAACCTAAAAGCTAAAGTGAAGTTCCTGCTTGGGGTACTTTTTTGTCACGTGGTCTGAGAGGTTTTGTAATGTGAGATGCAGTAAAGGAAGTTTCTGTGCTGTAGGATTACGTTTGTAATGTGTCAATGTTTGTTTTTCACAGAAAGGGGCTGTAATGCGAGCAAGCTATGCTAGGATAAGTTATTTAAAGGGCAATTCCACCACTTTTTTAAAAAAATGTCTGCTCAGTTCAGTAGTTGAGACGTGAACAAAGTCATTCAGAGTAGTTTGATGTGAAATGCTTCACTGTACAGACTCTTTCTTTACAGTGGTGGTGATGGGAACCAGGGATCACCGTGTCTACAACACATGTATAGCCATTTTATTTACTATCCAAAATGAACAGTGAACCTACAAGTGTCTTCTGAGGCATAAATGATCTTTGAGGACTATTTTGCCGCACAACACCCTCTCCTTAATGAATGACTTTAAAAGATTTAAAACAAAAAATACACTTTAGGCCTTGTTAAAGATGGTAAAATAGTTGGGGACAGTTTTGCTGAAAATGTCCTGCATGTCATTCTCTATTAATGGACTTAATAATGCATTTTAGGCCAAAACCTTCTCAAAACTATTATAAAACAATGTCTCAGACACCAAGCAGTGTATTCATAACCATTTTATGTAATAATTTTCTGTGATTGAGCTTTTAGAGGTGGACGTCTGGTTCCTATCACCACCACTGTGAACAATTCTGACTCTAAGTTTCTCTAGAACAGAGCATTTCACACCAAACCACTCTGAAAGACTTTGTTTAGATCTTAACCATTTAAATATGGAGAAATACCATCTAGAAATATAGCATGTCGTATCAAACCTCTCTGTCTTTCACCATTTGAAACTTTGCCATTGTCCTTGTGAACATTTCACAATGAATGGACCAATAGAAATGGTCCAAAAGCTTGTTATATTACATGTACATTAAACTAAAGAATGCTTGTTTTTGTTATTGCAAAACTATTGCTCTTATTCTGCTATCAGGCTTAGGTTGGGTACTCCTTGTACCCTTAAGTTGCACAAGTTCCCATCACACTGTTGAATTAATGTGTGATTGCTTGATCAATACCAACCAACCAATTTTCCAGGATCCACTTTAAGGACAGATCTTCAATATCTAATTCAGTGAAAAAGTTAGAGAAAAGTATTGATGTTGCTGTTGGAATCTGTGGCACCCTTGTTTGTTGTACTTTACGTGTGATTAAACACTAACAGTGAATTGTTCTTGTTCTGCTGCTGTTCTGTGAAGTGCTGCAGGGTTGCCAGTGCGTTTCTGTGCGTTTCCCAAGCCAGCAGCCCATCTATGTGGTCAGCGGAGAGAATCTGATCCTGCAGGCCCAGATAGACCAGTCTCCGGGAGAGTTCATCTCCAAGGTAACATGGGAGCATGAGGCAGAGGCGACGAAGAATTCTGGGAAAACTACAGTGGCTGAATTTCCTTTTAAAAGCTCTGGCGGTCGGGTGACTGTAGAAAAGGACGGAGCTGTTATGAAGCTGTCGAACTACCAGAGAACAGACAGTGGAGTGTACACCATAACAGTCACAAACCAGCATGGAGGTCAAGCTTCAGCACGCTGCAACGTCCATGAGTACGGTACGTGGAACCAGGCACCTTAAAAATACATCTTAGGCCAAAATCTTCTCGAAACTATCATAAAGCAATATCTCTGGCACCAGGCACTGTATTTATAACCATTTCATTTTATAACTTTCTGTGCGGGAGCTTTTAGAGGTGGACGCCTGGTTCCATTCACCACCACTGTGAACTGTTCAGACTCTCTAGAACAGAACATTTCATACCAAACCACTCTGAATGACTTTGTTTATGCTTTGATGATTTTGATATTTATTAAAAAATGCTGGAATTCTCCTTAAAAACATTTTAAAATGCTATTCTCCAAACCTTTTGAAAAATATTTTATTAATGGGCTCATCTCTCAGTTTTTAAGTCTACTTAATATGTGTTGGTTTATGCACCAAAACAGCTTACAATTCATTTTTACATGGCAATTTTCCAACTTCTCTTAGTTTAAAATTAAACAGGCTGTTTTTGTTACTGTGCCTTTAAGACTGATGTATGTAAATGAGCTCTGTTCTGATTCGCTGCCTCATGCTTTTATTCAAAAGACAATCCAAAACGCTGCATAAATGGGTGGGGCTAAACTGCAGGGCGTGAAGGTGGATATATGTTATGTACTGTGCAGACTGGAGAGCAAACAGTATGCTTAGAAACTTAGTGTACGTACATCAAGCACTTTTATTTAAAATATGTATATAAAAATAAGTAAGGCGATGGGCTCTTAAATTTTGCCAAATTCTTTCACTTGTGAATCCTTGTGAACTCTGTGTTTGTCTAAAGGTTCTGTGTGGTAAAAATCCTGTTCAACTCAAAGAGAATTTCTAATGCAAATGCATATTTGTAGAGTGCGCTATTCATTTAAAATCAGATTTATTTGCTGGTGAGTGGAAAATTGCAGTATAAGGAGTCACAATATATATATATATATATATATATATATATATATATATATATATAGTCAGTATTACAGGAAGATCGGATCTGCAGTCATTGCCAGTCTCATTAAAAATGACTGACCGCACCAAATGCAGTTGTTTAGAACAACAGCCATAAGCAACAGGGCTTTAAAACTGACTGAATTAGAGTTAGCTTAGAGTTTGAGCATCAGGAGGCCTCTTGCCCCATCAGCATGAACAAGAGCCAAATATACACATCTTACATTATAAACATTATAAAAATTATAAACCTTTTAATATTTTAAAATTATTTGATATGTGTAGAATCACTTTTGTTTAAATTTTTAGAATCAATATGTTATCAATATCAATAAGCTATATTTTGACAACACTAACTGTTAGGATAGATGAGTTGTATTTTTTTGTTGTAAAATGTTGTAAAAGCTTTTTTTAATGTATAAACTTCTCTCTTTCAGTCCTTTAGCACTGCTACACACTTAAAGATGGCTCTTCAAGGGTCTTTAGTAAAGACAATGGTTCTTTTTGCATGCTTAAATGATTCTTTGCTTGGTGAAATCGTTCTTCAGATTGATGGAGAATGTATTGTATATGGTTTAATATAAAACCTTTTCGAAAAGGGCTCTATATAGCACCCAAAAGGGTTATTTTATCATTATGATGTCAAGCTTGTAACAACGGAAGAACCCTTTTCTAAAAGGTTCTATGTAGGACCATATACAACACATTCTCCATCAATCTGAAGAACCATTTTCACCATGCAAAGAACCCTTTAAGCAGACACACAAACACAGCAGATCTCAGAGAAGCTGCACATAGCAGCCAGCAGTTTCTAAAACTTGTCCAACCTTAAATTACAAAACCTCAGAAGAAGGCCTTTGTGGGCGGAGCATGGTTAGGTTAATTACAGAGCCTTTTCTCAGCTGAAACCGAAGTATGTTGAAAAACAGTAAATTGTACAGTGTTATCTTTTGGAACTGTTTGATAACACTTCATTTTCAGTTGCTTTATTCTGGCTGCTTTAACTCTGACTGTTTGTGTGTTGGCATCTCAGAGGCTGTGCACCACGTGTCTGTGATGGTGAATGTGTCCCACTCTGTCCTGCACTGTCGCGAGGCATGGGGCACTGATCCTGTGTTCAGCTGGCTGCATGAGAAGGCTGCAGTGACTGAGGCTGTGGGCAAAGTGTCTACTGATGGAAGTTCACTGCAGTTGTCCATCCCACTCTGCGGACACTTCACTTGCGTAGTGTCTAATAAACTGGGCCACAGCTCCGCCACCTACACTGGAGGTACAGCATGGACACACATACTTGTTCTATGTGACTTAATTGCCCATGTGAATATGCCCCAAGAGTCCAGTCTGACCTACAGCACCAGGTTTACAATCTGAACTGGAATGTAGCACAACAAAATTTTGACTGACCACGACTGTAGCTGACAAAGTTTTGTCTGGACCCAACTACAGCCGACAAAATTCTGTCCGAAATTGACTAGCTGACAAAATTCAGTCTGAACCCGACTGTAGCTGACAGAATTTTGTCCGAACCCGATCGTAGCTGACCAAATTCTGTCCGAACCTGACTGTGGGCCAACAAAATTCAGTCCAAACCAGACTGTAGCCGACAGAATTTTGTCCGGACCTGACTGTAGCCGACAAAATTCTGTCCAAACTCGACTGTAGCTGACATAATTCTGTCCGAGCACGATTGTAGCTGACATAATTCTGTCCGATCTCTACTGTAGCTGACAAAATTCTGTCCAAGCCCGACTGTTGCCAACAAAATTCTGTAGAACTCGCCTGTAGCCGACAAAATTGTGTCCGAACCCAACTGTAGCTGACAAAACTTTGTCTGAACTCAACTGTAGCCAACAAAATTGTGTCTGAGTCTGTAGCCTGACAGAATTCTATATGAACCCGACTGTAGGCCAACAAAATTCTGTCTGAGGCTGACCAACAAAACTCTTGTCTAAATCTGACTGTAGCCTGACAAAATTCTGTTGGTTGTAATTGTTGGCTGTAATTCCAACATCTGGTTGACATTAATAATAAAATTTTCCTTGTATTAGTAAATAATATCTTGGCCACCAGCATACTGTGCACATATTATGGTCTTTAGAGCATGTCTATTTTGTGTGTTTGTTCCAGTGCCTTGTGAGAGAAGTAACGGAGGGACAGCTGTAGCCATTGTGAGTCTCCTGTTTGTGCTGCTGCTAGCTGGAGGTTTGACCTTCCTGCTCTGGAGGTACAGTAACACACACCCAGAGGACATGAGCCAAAATAAGATGTACCAAACACACGTTCACGGTTCAGGCTGAGCCAACACACATCACAACAAGCATCAGTTCAAAGTGACCACCAAAGGTTCCTATAAACAAAGACTCCAATGTGTCAAAAGGCCAGTGAGAAATTTGTGTTCCAGAATTCTGCATCCTTTAAAAGCTAAAAGGCCAAATTAGCAATCAAAATGTTTTTGTTCACATGTAGAACTAGTAAGAAAAACATGCTCTAATTTTAACAAATGCTTCTGTCTTCCTCTGCCACATCTGTACTTTGGAGCTTATAATATTCATCCAAATTTACCAAGTATTTCATGTTCTCAAAGCCCATCTCTTGCTTTAGTTTTACTCCTGCGTTATTACTTTATGTATCCTCCCTACTTAAAACATTTCCTAATCTAATATGTTGAAGTCTCCCACTCGCATTGTGGAAAGAGTTTAGCACAGACGTCCACGCTTGTGGAAATAAAACAGCAAATCTATTCAGAAGAGGACAGTTTAGTGCAGCCAAAAGGGTGCCTGTATTTAATTTGCTTGGCCTAAACTATTTTTTATGTTCAGTATTTTATATATAACCTTCTCTGTGCGTTGAGGATTAAACAGATGAAGGCCACATCTCAGCACTGCACAGTGTGAGATGAGCACAGTATGGAATGTTTATCCAGACGAAATATATATTTGCGATGTTGTCCAAAGCATTGCTTGATAAATAAACCTGTTAAAGCAGATTTTAATCTTAATTTTGGACAGCTGATAATTTATTACATTATTTTATTTTTGTTATGTATCCATGATAATGACTGCTTTTTTGTAAGTTGACCGGCACTGTCCTGTCAAGGTTTAATTCTGCACTTTGGGTGAAAATTGGCCAGTTTGGGTCAGTTTCAGACTCAGACCTCGATGATGTGGTTTGGGTCCGGCTCAGATCGGGCTCAGGTCAGGTTCGGGCTCAAAACTTAACAATGTGGCTTAGACAGGAAGTTCTCGGCCTGGTCAATTAAAGTTCTGCTTTATTTGATCATTTTTTTACAAAACGGATAAAAATTTAATTAGATTCTCTGTGAGTTTAGAAAAGAAGCCTGTTGCCACTGGACAAGTGCTGAATTCCATGCATAAACATTTGACTACGTAACATAAGACCAACTGAGACTTAAGAAGTTTGATCCAAATTTAGAAAATTGGAGCAACGCAGTAAAAAAGAGACGCTCAGAGCAAATTATCTTCACATCGAAGGCTTGATCTGCTGGTTGGTTTGTTTGTTGTTCATTAAGCACGTGGCTTATTGTTGTGATATAATTGATTAGGGTGTGCACATGAGGGTTATTACAGGACACAGGTTCATTCAGAGTTTGCAAGCTCACAAACTCTTACATTTTTTACCATTGCGATGCTATATGTTAGCCTATAGCATGTGTGCGGCATACCTGAATGTCTCAAAATGTCAGCCTAGTACTCAGGGCTGTGTAGTGTCTTATACAGAGATAAACAGCGCGGGCAGTTCAGTCTAGGGCCGAACCACAGCTGTTCGGAGGTCAGCTGAGAACCTCTCACTACTCACTGTATAGTTTCATTGAATCTCATAAAACCCTACAGAAATCTCAGAGGACCTTGGTGTCCTCATGCTAGTCACAGACACAAGGGGCACTGACAATGTGCTGAAGCAACTGCATATAGCAACGGTTGCTAAGCAGTGATTGAAGGGTTGAGAGAATAATGTGAAATTTAGCAGGTTTTGATTGGCCATCATACAGTGACACACAGAAAACAAATCATCCCAGATATGCAGCATAACAAATATTCTGTCTCCATTTGATTGGGTGGTCTGTGATACTGTGGCTGCACCTCTGGGTAGACTGTATTATCATAATGGCACTGTTTCTACATGTAATATAATGAATGGAGGAAAGTGAAAAACGCTTCTAAAACTACTGAGGTCTGGACAATGACCTCAGACCTTATAGCTAGTTACGACCATGAACGTAGCCTAAACCATTTTTCTCTATGGGGAAAAATAAATGCTGCTTTCAAAAATCGCCACCACCTTCAATTGTCATATCTACATTTTCCCCCAAATGTTACTGGATTGTCTGAATTGTTAAAGACAGAGTTAAAGAGTTGTTAAAGAGTCAAAATATTAATTGCTACAGGCAATCTAACACTGCTGGACATGACCGAGATACCCCACACAAACCAGCAGCCTGTCTCAAATGTGATAGTAAGCTGGTCGGCAGTAGTAGAGTACATCTGGAGTAGCTGGTTTTATAACAGGGTCAAAGTTTAACAGTAGACCTGCTGACATGGGACGTCAGTTCAATGCACAGGAGTAGCATTATTTGTATTTCAACTAATTGACCTCATAATTCAGAGATTTCAGTGCTATTTGGGAAGCAAATGTACACAGGACAAAATTGTCCTTGAACTTTGGCTCGCGTTTGTTCATTGATGGGATTCGGCAACTGCCCAAATGCTTCTATTAGTGAGTTTTAAATCGGTGAGTTGTTTACATTCACTTAATAATCAGTCAGAAGTAATTGGTACATGCACTTGGGTAATCAGATAATGGGAAAAGTCCGGCTCTACATGAGTCAGACAGCATTTGGATTTATGCTCTGCAACCGACCGATAAACTAGTGACATAAACATGACATAAATGTGACATATACGTAACATAAAGCTGAATGCCACAACTTTTTTTTTTTTAGATAGAGGGTCAGTTTAACACCTGCTAGAAAAGTCTGATGAATTGGCAAACAAAGTTCATTCTGAATAATTCTGTGTTATAAGAAACATATATATTCAAATTGATAGCTACACACACACACACACATATCAAATTATATACAAACACTGACATCAGACTGTGTGTCAAACAATAACATATTCATTTTTGTCCAGTGCAGCAAATAATAACATCGCACATCAGTAAAATATGGAATATTGTTTCTACATAACTACAGCTTTACCAACTGATAATGTCAGTTTCATTAATATACTAACTTAGAACCAAAATACTGACATCTGAAAGATGCTAATAAAGTAGACAAAAATCCATGTTTCTCTTTTTCAGTTTAAAATCTGTGTACACATGGAACAAAAAGACTTTATTTAAATGTACTCTATTTGTCTTTGTTTATTAAAAGTGGCTTAGCTGTAATGCTGTGTAAGATCCAACCCTGCAGCACAGAGGCTGTACTTAAGCCTAACTAGCACTTGCTGTGAGCTTGTCAGCTGCTTCTTAATGATGCTACATTGTCGCCAACGACATGGTGATTAAAGTAATATAAAGTTGTATTTTGTGGTTTACACACACAGCTCAGTAACCGAAAAAACGTGTTAAAAAGTGACTTACATGTCCTGAAAACACTCTTTGGCACAGATCTCTTTAAAACGCTGACGAATCGCTTTGAATTTTGGTGGGAGATCGTGGCTAGGAAATATGGTGATGTGGCCAGAAGCTCACGTTGCTTGACCTTCTATAACAACATGAAAAGTCTGCGTTAATTTGTGCCCCACGTTAGGTTGTTCCCCACGCTCCACTACTTACAGCAAAGCATGATGAGGCCACAATACATTTTGTCAGCACATTCTTGTACTATATTAAAATGTTTAATCGCACTGTTAAAATCTGGAAATATGTGCTATCAACTCACAGCACTGAACATCATGCTAACAAGGTCCTAAACAGCTTGTTTAACTGGGCAGCTGTACACAGTGCCCCATCATACTGGACCCTTACTAGGGCTGTGATGTATGGCCCTCATACCTTGGCTAAGAGAGGCTAGATGGAGCGAAGCCACACTGTTCATCCTTGAGTACCACACACTTAAAGATGGTTCTTCAAGGTTCTTTAGTAAAGGAAATGGTTTCTATTTAAAACCATGAGTTCTACATAGACCCATTTCAAGCTTAAATGGTTCTTTGCGTGGTGAAAATGTTCTTCGGATTGATGGAGAATGTGCTGTATATGGATCTATATAGAACCTTTTTGGAAAATGGTTCTATATAGCACCAAAAAGGGTTCTATATAGTGCCAAAAAGGCTTTTGTTGTTACAAGCTTGACATCATAACAATAGCAGAACCCTTTTGGTGCTTTATACACACTTAAAAAAGATGATTCTTCAAGGATTTGTTTTATAAAGAAAATGGTTCTATATAGACACTCAAAGAACCCATCGCATGATTAAAGGGTTGTTTATATCATGAAAGTGTTCTTCAGATTGATGGAGAATGTGTTGGACATGGTGGTGTGTAGACAATGACGTATAGCGAAGGGTGCTATGTAGAACACTTTTTGAAAAGGATTCTATTTGGCGCCAAAAAGGGGTTTTCTATTGTTACAAGCTTGACAACGTAATAATAGCAGAACCCTTTTTGGTGCTATATACAAATTTTAAAAATTATGGTTTTTCAAGAGTTTGTTTAATAAAGAAAATGGTTCTATATAGAACCATGAACACTTAAAGAACCCTTTGCATGATTAAAGGGTTATTTGCGCTGTGAAAGGGTTCTTCGGATTAATGCATTATATGCTTTAGATGGTTCTATATAGAACCTTTTTGAAAAGGGTTCTATATAGCACCTAAAGTGTTCTTCTATTGTTACAAGCTTGACATTGAAACGTCTACAGCACATTCTCCATCAATCTGACCTCTTTTTTTAAGAGAGCAGGCAACACAAAGCAGACTGTTGTAATCGACTGTAAGCTGTTGCAAAAATTAGGTTTAAAAATGCACTAACTCCACTGAACTAACTCCAGATTTCTGCTGTCTTCCTAGGAGACACAGGCATTACAGCAGCAGAAGGGAGAGACTCCAAGAGTCGTTTGAAGATACTGTTTAATCTCAGCACTCATGTCCTCAGAAGATCCAGCACACAGGGCTGGACCCACATATTTCGGCGAGGATGGAAGGGTGGAGGACGAATGACCCCCGACAGGCCTGTGTCCTCCACCCCGGCACTGTGACCCTAAAGGAATACTGATAACATGCTAACAGCAAATGAACAGCATATGAAACAGCAAATTCCCTGTGAGGGAATGTTAGCATTATGCAAGTGAAGAGACATTAAAGGTTTCCTGCTATCTTTTAAACACAGTTAGACATGAGCGTGTTTGGCTGAAGTACTTCTCTAAAGAAGAAGCCTTGAAGAAGGGAAGGAAGCTGATGGTTAGACTCTGTTTGAAGCTTTCGGGCAAGGATCACGCGCAATTGACTGCTGGTTTCTGGATTTAGCAATACTGTCTTTGACGCTGAGCTGTTTGTGAAACACAAAATGTACTGTACTTCTCTAATTACCTTATACGTTTCAAGCTGAGTGCTTTTTTCAAGTGATGTTTTATGCATGTTTCTTTAAAACTTTCATGGTAGTGGTTGTGTCAGATACTTTTAAGCACTTACAAAGCAGCCAGAAGGTAGAGCTAATGCATTACCAGTGCTTGAAAGGGGGGCTCCACCAATTTTTTAAGAATTCTGCATACTTAGAGTCAGAATTGTTCACAGTGGTGGCAATAGGAACCAGACACCCACCTCTAAAAGCTCCCTCACAGCAAGTTATTTTATTTTACCATCATCAACATTCCATATGAAACCTCAGAAGACACATGTAGGTTCACTGCTGGTTTTGGATAGTAAATAAAATGGCTATATTTGTGTTGTAGTCATGGCGACCCCTGGTTCCTATCACCAACACTGTAGAGTTTCTCTACAATCACCCATTTCACACCAACCCTCTCTGAATGACTCTGTTTATATCAAACCCACTAATTTATTCAGAAATAATTGGTGGAATTCCCCTTTAAACTCAGAAACAGGAACTGCTGTTGAAGAGTTTTACTTTCACAACTCTAAAGCCCTCATTAAAATGTACAGTATGTACATTTCCCATGCTGTCTGCTCAGAACAAGCCCCAAGGAAGCTGTGGTGCTGTTTTAGCTTTTGCTGCCTGAGGTTTTCAAGCAGGGCTCTTTTAGTTCATGAAGAAGGGTTTGTATGTGTGTTACTGTTTATGTTCATATGAATGTAAACTGGATGGTTTACCAACTGTGTTTGTGTCTGAGGTTTCTGTTGTTCCTGCTTTGGACTGTTTCTCAAGTACACCACATGTGTTATCCACAACAGCACACAGCCTCAAGTGTTCTGTTGCTATTTATTCATACAGTTTTGCAAAGTAAAGAAAAAAAGTGGAGTCAGAACTTTGTTTTAAATGTTATTAAAGGGAAATTCCTTTTGTTTTTTTCTAAATGTCTGCATAATTAAATTGTTGAGATTGAGTGGTTTGGTGTGAAACGCTCTGTTTTAGAGAAATGTACTAAGTCAGAATTGTTCACAGTGGAGGTGATAGGAACCAGGCGTACACCTCTAAAAGCTCCCTTACAGAAAGTTATTACATAAAATGGTTATGAAGACACTGCCTGATGTCTGAGTTGTTTTTGATATTTTTGACATTGTTTTATGCTAGCTTTGTGATACAATTTTGGCTTAATACGTATTTAATTCAGTTTGATGTATTCTTGTTTTTGGTAGAGGGATACATGCAGTGTTATCTGAGGCAAAATAGTCCCACAAGAAAACTTATTTTTTCAGATTATCACTATTTTCCCATCGTCATACATATAAAATCTCAGAGGACACATGTAGGTTCACTGGTGGTTTTGGATAGTACATAAAATGGTTATATTTGTGTTGTAGACATGGTGACCCCTGGTTCCCATCACCACCACTGTAAAGAAATCTCAGTCTCTACAATCAACCCTTTCACACCAAACCACTCTGAATGACTCTGTCTCAGCCACAGACATTTTATAAAACTTGTAGAATTGTCCTTTAATACTGACAGTTCTGCACATAAACACATCTCAGTGTTGTTGATTTAATCTTGTATCACAAAGGCAGATTACAAGCAGTAAATGATACAATCGCAGCCTGAACTCTCAGTGCCCCTCTGTGTGGTAGTAAACAAAGCACCTGTGCCAACTCCATTGCATCATCTCCAGCGACATTACTTCACTGAGCAGTCAGCTGGAACACAAGACCAGGCATGTTCATACATCTGATATTTAAAGGGGCTATAGCATGGAAAACTGAATGTTTCTGGTTTTTAATGTATAAAAGAGATAAACTCTGGAAAGAGTGTTAATGATTTAAAGTGTACTGTTCACTTCCAAGTCCATAAAGCCCATAAATTAATGCTAAGTTGCAAAAATTCTTCATGGCTGTGATGTCACAAATATATTTCCATTTAGCCAACAGCAGTTTAGCCCCACCCATTCAGCCTGCAGCAGTTTAGCTCCACTTATTCAGCCTACAGCAGTTTAGCGCCACCCATTCAGCCTGCAGCAGTTTAGCCCCGCCCATTCAGCCTACAGCAGTTTAGCTCCACCCATTCAGCCTACAGCAGTTTAGCCCCACACATTCAGCCTACAGCAGTTTAGCCCCACCCATTCAGGCTACAGCAGTTTAACCCCACCCATTCAGCCTACAGCAGTTTAGCTCCACCCATTCAGCCTACAGCAGTTTAGCTCCACCCATTCAGCCTACAGCAGTTTAGCTCCACCCATTCAGCCTACAGCAGTTTAGCCCCACACATTCAGCCTACAGCAGTTTAACCCCACCCATTCAGCCTACAGCAGTTTAGCTTTGCCCATTCAACTATAGCAGTTTATTTGTGGTCTCTGACTTTTACACAGTTGAAAACTAAGAAGCACATTTCTACTGCACATAACAAATAACTGCATCAGAAGCTCCTTTGGAGAAGCACAGCAAGGTGACAAAACATTACTATCTCACTGACGTTTGTTTGCTCACCCTGATCGGTCTTATCTCACTGTGCACTCATCCCTTCTGTAGCACAGTTTTTATTGTGGGATTTCCTGACCAGAAACACACGTTCCACTGTTCACTATTATTCAGTGTGGAGAGAAATGAATAGCCCATCCTGTGTTGAGCTATGGATCAGTCATTAAAGTTAAAGAGCGTCGAAAACAGGCTCAACAAATTCATCCTCCATTTAGGCCTGATTAAAGACGTCCCAGAGGATGTTTATGCTGCATAGGAAAAATCAATTTAAGCTGCAGAAGCATTCCTGTAAATGAAATTAATCAATTAGTGGTTTACAAGTCTTACGTGCTGGTTTATTTACACTCAGGGTCAGTGAGGAGATCAGTAGCGCTAATATAATTAGCTTAGCATATTCCATTAATCATAAATGTGAAGAGGCAGAGATATAACCCCACTGAATCTGTTGATTGTTCAAGCCAAGGGGTTTAATCAATACAGCTACATCCTCATAATCACTGCTAAATCCCTCTGGTGGCCTAAGGCCAGAAACATGGTGCCATGATCGATTCACAAGAAAAAAAGCCCCTTTTTTGGAATTTACAAAAGCAACATGGCTGCCCCAAGCCTAACTCAGGGTTTATAAACAGAAAACATGCAATGTGTATTGACTGTTTTATAGTAGTTTCATATTTAGCCATTCTGAGGTCCAATTAATGCATTAATGGTTAATTGTAGAGAAACTTACCACAGATTTCTTTACAGTGGTGGTAATGGGAACCAGGTGTCACCATGTCTAAAACACAATTATAGCCATTTTATTTACTATCAAAACCACCAGTGAACCTACAAGTCTTCTGAGCCTTTAGATGTAATGTTGATGAAGGGAAAAAAAAACATTTTTTTACATACTTCAATACATCTCTCCACCCTGAATAGAAATAAAAAATACATTTTAAGCCATAAATTTATCATAAAACTACCATAAAACAATGTCTCAGACATCAGGCAAGACCACACCAAGCTCCATCACAGTAAATACATTTTTCAGTTGCTTTTAACATTATTCCACTCTCAGTCATACTCATGAGGCCCCCAGTGACCAGATTTTGAGCTGCAGGCCTTAAAAGCCATTGGCTTAAAGGAAAAATCCACAGATTTATCAAAATGTCTGTATAATTAGAAGGTTTAAATGTAAACCAAGTCATTCAGAGTGGTTTGGTGTGAAATAGGTGATTGTAGAGACTCAGGTTTCTTTACAGTGGTGGTGATAGAAACCAGGGGTCACCATGTCTACAACACAAATATAGCCATTTTATTTACTATCCAAAACGAACAGTGAACCTACAAGTGTCCTCTGAGATTTTATATGTATGACGATGGGAAAATAGTGATAATCTGAAAAAATAAGTTTTCTTGTGGGACTATTTTGCCTCAGATAACACTGCATGTATCCCTCTACCAAATCAAGAATACATCAAACTGAATTAAATACATATTAAGCCAAAATTGTATCACAAAGCTAGCATAAAACTAGCCATTTTATTTACTATCCAAAACCACCAGTGAACCTACATGAGTCTCCTGAGTTTTATATGGAATGTTGATGATGGTAAAAGTTTTCTTGTCGACTATTTTGCCTCGCAATGCCCTACGTGTACCCCTCCACCATTAATGTATTTTTAAAAACATGTCCAAAAATAAAAATAAGTCCAAAATCTTCTCTCAAAACTATGATAAAGCAATGTCTCAGCCATCAGGCAGTGAATTCGTAACCATTTCATATAATAACTTTCTGTGAGGGAGCTTTTAGAGGTGGACGTCTGGTTCCTAACACCACCATTGTGAACAGCTCTGATTCTGTTATTTTCTCTAGAACAGAGCATTTCACACCAAACCACTCTGAATGACTTTTTTTGTACATATGAACTATTTAATAATGCAGGAATTTTGAAAAGTCTTGGTTACACTTGAAAGCCTCACTTTCTGAATTACCACATGCTGATCCAAGCATTTCCTGGTTCAAAATACCCTTACAGTTGACTCTCCAGTACTCGTACCCCTGCTACAGTGCCTTTACACCTCACTTCTCTTCCAAAACATCATAAGTCAATGTTTACATGCGCTAGAGGCGAAAAGCAGTGAACCTTTAATAGTGTAACATATTAACATTAGTATTTTATACCAGCTAGTTTTAAACAGGGTTACCAACCTTAAATCTTCAGTCTATGTAGCTTGATAAGAAGTCATTCAGATTCTTGTGAGTAAAAAAAATGTACCATTCTAGAGAAACTTAGAGTTATTGTGCACAATGACAGTGATAGGAACCCAGTGTCAAAAGTGTTTAAAGGCTTTAAAAGCTTCATCACAGAGTTATTGTGTTTGTTATTACATGAAAGAATACACTGCATGATGCCTTGTGTTCTTCTGAGGTTCTTATGTCTGTTACAGTTTGGTGTGAAAACATAGGCATCCAGACTCATAATAAACTGCTTTTATCTGCAAAGGTTCAAAGATAATTATATATCACTTCCTTCAGCTGACTCTGTTTATACTCAGCACACGCTTAAGCGAGCAAGAGAATAATTAGATTCCTCTCATCCAGCAAACCATCTTTTCCAACCAGTCCCTTCTGGGAGGCACTACAGATCTTTAAAACTAAGACAAGCGTTTTAAGAACAGCGTTTTGCTGCTGCAATAAGGCTACTAAACTCTTCTGAGCTGTATATTATTATAGTCTAGTTCCATTTCCAGCCTTTGTACAAATGCACAGATGAAATTACTGTCATTTTCCATGTTTCTCCTACACAAAATGTTGTATATTGCATATTTTATTGTATAATGTTTTCTGTATAGGTATTATGTTGTATGTATGTGTGACTTGAGCTACAACAGTTACATTTTGATGCAGCGGATGCAATTACCACTGAAAAGAATCAATCAAATACATGCAGGATGTTGTAAGGAATTAGACTAGCCAAAGATTGATTTTTGTAGATTTTCCACCATTTTGGAATTATTAAAATTAATTATAAAAATTGTATGTAGCTTTACTGGCTTTACTTAAACTAAACAAAACAAAAAAAAAACATTTCTGTTTCCTATGATAGTGTTCTATACAGTGTTCCAGTGTATGGAATAGTGTGTAGGGGCCATTTCTTTTCCCTATAATAGTGTTCTATATAGCGAATAGTGCTTAGGGGTCATTTCTTTTCCCTATAATAGTGTTCTATATAGTGTTTCAATGTAGGCAATAGTGATTAGGGGCCTTTTCTGTTCTCTATAATAGTGTTCCATGTAGGGAATAGTAATTAGGGGCCATTTCTTTTCCCTATAATAGTGTTATATGTAGTTCTCCAGTATAGGGAATAGTGATTAGGGGTCATTTTGGTTCCTTACCATAGTGTTCCATGTAGGGAATAGTGATTTAGAGCCATTTCTGTTACCTATAATAGTGTTCTGTGGAGTGCTCCAATGTAGGGAATAGTAATTAAGGGCCATGTCCGTTCCCTATAATAGTGTTCTATGTAGGGAATAGTAATTAGGGGCCATTTCTGTTCTCTATATTAGTGTTCTAAGTAGTGCTCCAGTTAAGGGAATAGTGATTAGGGGACATATCTGTTCTCTGAAATAGTGTTCTATATAGTGTTCCAGGGTAGGGAACAGTGATTAGGGCCCATTTCTGTTCTCTATAATAGTGTTCTATGTAGTTCTTCAGTGTAGGGAATAGTGATTAGGGGACATATCTATTCTCTGTATTAGTGTTCTGTGTTCCAGTGTAGGGAATAGTGATTAGGGGCCATTTCTGTTCTCTATAATAGTGCCTCTGGAAGCAACATCACAAGAACTGTGCACTGGGAGCTTCATTAAATGTGTTTCTATGGCCGAGCAGCTGCACACAAGCCTAAGATCACTATGCGCATCGGCTGGAGTGGTGTAAAGCATGCCACCACTGGATTCTGGAGTAGTGGAAATGTGTTCTCTGGAGTGATGAATCATGCTTCACTGTCTGGCAGTCTGATGCATGAATATGTGTTTGGTGGATGCCAGGAGAACGTTACCTACCAGAATGCACAGTGCCAGCAAGTTTGGTGGAGGAGCAATAATGAACTGGGGCTGTTTGTCAGATTCCTTAAATCCAGTGAAGGGTGATGTTAATGCTACAGCATACAAAGACATTTTAGACAGTTATATGCTTTAAACTTTGTGTCAGCAGTTTTGGGAAGGCCCTTTCCTGTTCCAGCATGACTGAGCCCCTGTGCACAAAGTGAGCTCCTTAAAGACATGGTTTGACGAGTTTAGTGTGGAGGAACTCCAGTGGCCTGCACAAAGCCCTGACCTCAACCCCACTCAACACCTTTGGGATGGATTGGAATGTTGATTGTGAGCCAGGCTCTCTCGTCCAACATCAGTGCCTGAGCTCACAAATGTTCTTTTGAGTGAATGGGCACAAATTCCCACAGACACACTCCAAAATCTTGTGGAAAGCTTCCCAGAAGATTGGAGGCTGTTATAGCCAGAAAGCAGGGCCATCTCCATATTAAGGCCCATGGTTTTGGAATATATGTCCAACAAACTCATACAGTCAGTCCACATACCCTGTTTACTTTGTTTTTTTTACTTTACTTTGTATTTTTCTTTATTAAAACTTTTATTTGTACTCAAGTGAATTATCACTACAGTAACAGTACTCTTAGGACTAACATGCTAACATCAGAATGTAATTGAGAGCCCTAGCTCTATACTGTGCTTTAGCCCCTCAGGTCTAGAGATAAAAGATCCTGCAGTGTGTAGAAGCTCTAAGACATCCTATACCTGCTATGGTGTTGTAAAAAAACAGGCTTTTCCTCCATGTTTCCGTGCCAGTGTAACTCATGGCTGGCTTACAGGAGCTGGTGCTCCCAAACACACACACATAGTGAGGCCTGCACCTGTCAGGACTCTGATAAGGCCAGAAGAAAAGACGAAGCATTCATCACAGCACACACAGAGCTAAAGGCTCATAAAAAGTCCCACAGCGAAAAGAATACAGGCCGCATATGACAGACTGTAAACGAGGTGTAAACAAGGCCCTCTGCGCAAGCCATTCGTCCTGACGACAGGATTTTGGTTCTCAGTGCCTCTGTTCACACTGGAGGACAATAACCACAGGTGAATAATCTCCAAACCGGGTAGCTATGTCCAGATCCTCTCAGCCAACCTGCCAGCTGCATACCACAAACTGAAGGGAAAGATGAATGTTGCTGAAAATAACTGCTGCAAAACAAGATGTTCACTTGTATAAAGGAGAAGTTTCTTTTTTATTGTAATGTTAAAAGATTTACTGACTTGTTTATTAAATAAGTTCATATCAATGCACAAGGTGTGTAGCAACACTTGCCATACTGACTATAATAATTACAAAAAACAAAGGAAATTTCCAGTTTATACAAACTCAATTCCAAAAAAAGTATAGGAAATGCTAATAAAAACAGGAAGCAGTGATTAGATATGATACACCTGATAAAGGATGGATAAATTCTGTTTGATCTGTATTAAATTGAAAATGATACAAAAAAACATTTTTTGTTTTACTTTTTGAACTTCATTGTTTTTTGTAAATATAAGCACATTCCAAATGTTACCTCCATCATGTTCCAAAATGCTGGAGCATGTTGACCACTCTGTAACGTCACCTTTTCTTTTAACAACACTTTTTAGTGTTTGGAGACACCAACTGATCCAGTTTTTAAAATTGATTTTTCATCTGTTACATAAGTCCTCAGCTGTGCAACCATACAGGGCCTTTGTTGTCATATTTTAAGCTTTGTAATGCTCCACACGTTTTCAACTTAAGACAGGCAGGCCAGTCAAGCACCCATACTCTCTGATTATGCAGCCATGTTGTTGTAACATGTACATGAACCACAAGATTGTGGTTCGGCATTGTCATGTTGAGATAAGCATGGACGTCCCTGAAAAAGACGTTGTCTAGAAGACAGAATATGTTGCTCAAAATTGCTCCTAATACCCCTGACCAGACAGCAAGGCGTCAATTAGTTCTACAAACAATCTAAAGATTTAACTCATTAGACCACAATGAGCTCACGCCCAGAGAAGTCGGCAGCGTTTCTGGACATTATCGATGTGTGACTTTTGCTGTGCATAGTACAGTCTTTAGCATTGTTCTGTGATGGAGCCAATGTGGTGATCTCCATCACAGAAGCATGCTAGTTTTTACTGCAGTGCTGTCCGCGGGATCGAAGGAGGATTATTTTATTTTACCTAAAAAATCTAATTCTGCTGTGGAGCCACAACAGGGCAGTAAAAGAGCCACATGTTGCCAACTCCTGCTTTAAGAGTTCTGTGCCTGCTGCCATTTAAATGGCAGTAGTGCGCTCTTCCATGCTAGCGGTCTGTGAGTGCAGGGTCAGACAGCTCTTGCAGAATTTTAGTTTGACGCAAGGTGTCTGGCGCAGGACCCTGATGAGGTGCTTCTTAAACTTCTCTCCTACAAGCAGGTACAGCAAGGGATTCAGACAGCTATGTGAGTACGCCACAGCTTCAGTGATCTGCAGACTCACCAGAATCCTTTTGCTGGTTTCGCAGTCTACAGGTATGATGTTCTTCAGTTCCAGACTTTTGAGGAACGCTGCAATGTTGTATGGTGTCCAGCAGCAGAAGAAGACCACAGTGACCAGGAAGACGAGGCGCATGCCATGTTTCATGGATGAGCGAAACTTGTGGAGCCTCCGAAGCACCATTGTGTAGCAGAATCCCAAGATGATCAGTGGGACCAGCAGGCTCAACACATTCATTTTAAAGAAGCCAACGATTCTTAAGTAATGGTCTGCGTGATTGCTTGGATATGCACTGCAAAGTACCTCACCATGTCTCTCTTCAATTCCAAGGTGACACAGCTCAGGGAAGGACGCTGCCACAGCTAAGATCCAGACAACAAGGCAGGCCACAATCCCATACCTCTTAGTTTGGACCCTCAGAGCATGGACCACAGCCAAGTACCTGCTGATGCTCATAAGCACAATAAAGAAGATGCCACTGTAGATTCCAACATAGTATATACCGAGGACTATGGTGCACATAGCTCTCCCAAAAATCCAGCTGTGGCCAGCATAGTGGGCCAGAAAGGGAAGAGACAAGACCAAGAGCAGGTCAGCCAGAGCCAGGTTCAGAAGGCACACATCGGTCATGGTTTTCAGCTGATTACCTGCCTTGAAGACCCACACCATGAACATATTGCCAAGGAAGCCCACCACAAAGAGCAGGGAATAGAGCACTGGGAGGAAACTGTTGTGGTGGCTTCCATAAACACAGGGCATGTGGTCAAACAGATCATCGTCATAATAATCGCCATAGTCATAGGTGACAGTGCTGAAGACATCAAGACTGAAAAAAAACCACAAAATGTTTCAGTAATGACTGTTTCAATAGTGACAATTTTAGCTAATTTTGAGCAGAACTCAAAAAGACTAGCCAGTTAATGACTAGCAGACACGGCTTTAAACATTTGAACACAAACAATCTAAAATTTTTCATTAAAACACAGACAGTTTCCTTAAATGCAGAAAATCTGTGTTTTGGTAGTGACAATTGTTAAAGTTCCACACTGATTTTCTGACTTTGGAACACATTTACTTCAAAACAATGGGATCTAACTGCTCACCATGAGGTCATAATGAACAGGAATGCAGTCTCACTTCCTGCTCTGAAATGCAGGGGCGTGGCTAAAATAAGGCTCTGTCTACAGACTAAAACTCTTGGTGTTTCGGTAGTGACATGAAAACATGGAACAGCATTTTCTGAATAAAGTTTTTAATTTAAAAAATTATACTTATGCCAATTCAATTTTTTTTATTTCTCTTGAAATAAATCAAAACAGTCTCTAAAAATATTAACAATTAAAAAAAAAATAAGATTAAGATTGCTTTGCAGCGGTGGTGATGGGAAGAAAGACGTAAATAAACATATAAAATAAAGAGTGATGTTGGCGTGTTGCACAGACTTTGAACTGAAGGCCATCAGACCTCCATAATTCTATATTTCACAAAGAAAATAAAAGCTTAATAAGCCTCCCTTGCTGCCATGGGGTTGTTTCCATTGCTGTCTATAAAACGTCTATGCAGTCCTGATCAGGCAGATAAGTTTTTGTTGCTTTTCACTACATTTTTTTTTAAATCTTGACCCTGGAGTGTGGTTTAAACACATCAGTGTTTGCAGTGACCAAAAATGGCATTTTCATTTGGACAAGAGGCCAAAAAATATCAAACATACCCAGATGTGTGGACCTAAATCATGTCATTACACGACAGTGGTCAGTGTAAAAATCTTGTAATTCACTTTGTAAGTATTTTTTAAACTCATTTGCAAATATAATGCTAATTTTCCATTAGCACCCTAATGGAAATAGCAATGTTATATTAGCATCAGTCTAACTGCTTTACATTTTCTAGTATCTCTCTAACTTAAAAACAGGAATTTGAAGCTTGTCACAGACATATTCTTTACTTTGGATGTTAACTCATTCTGAAAAGACTTAAATTCAAAGCTTGTCTCTGAACATTACTGGAGCCTGTTAGTTCAGCTATATGCCCAAATTATTATTATCCTTAGTGAGGATAGAATACAAGCTCAACCACAGAAAGCCTGTTAACTTAATGGAAAAGAGTCTGTTGAATCAGCCACTTTTTCATTTTGTGTTAGAGCCACTTCCACTGGAACCCCTCAAATTCAGCATTAGTTAAGGATCTCACCTGTCTACTGTCGTTTCCCAAAGAGTGGCAGTAGAGTTCACCATCGTTGCCACTGGATAGTCTTGTTTGTGCTGAAGATCCAGAAGAAAGCATTAATGTTATGAGGCAATATGACCGTAGCTAGTGTAAAAACACATGCATCACACCTATCCTGTATTTGCTAAATGAAGACCAAATGTCAACTTAAAGCTGAGCTGTAATTTTTTTCCATCAAATTGAAAGAACTAGCATTACTAAATCAGGATAAAAAAAAACAGGTTAAAACATAGTGAGTGTGCGCTGCTGATGTAAAGCCTAAAATAATCTTAATAGTCTTTTAAAAATCATAGGTGTCGGGTTGGGAGTTTTCATGTGACTTTATGTATTAACGTGACATGCACAAACTCAAAACACATCCTTCACCAAGTTCTGCCTGAGTTCTCTTTGAATATGTATAAAAATGTTTTGTTGTGTGTTTTTGTTCATCTGTCTTGCACTTCACACTCACAGTTTAGCAGGCTGAAGGTTCTCCACAAGGGGGAGCTATTAGCACTCAAGTAGCTTTGAGTGCATCATTAAAGCGGAGGAACTTTCATAAACGGAGGAAATTTCATACTGTTACGGAGCAAATTATAGTTGTGACATGAGGAACACTGATTTCATTAGCCTTGTTGAAACCAGCAGGGGTGCTATGAAAGGGCTGCTGTGCTGTGAGATGACTAATAGCACAACCCACTGAGCTGGCAAAACCACTCCACGCCACTGATTACAAGATCTCACCTTGATAAGGAGTAGTGGAGCCAGTTCAACCTGAAATAGTCCACGCCGTCACACTGGAGTTGAGATGGGATGGATTATCTCAGGTTAAACTGTACTTCTGTGTGTATTTTAATGCAAATAAATATGGCTACTGAGGTGGGAAAATGTGTTTTTTGGTAAGAGCAATATGTAGTTGACAAAAAACGATTTTGTGGTATAACAAAAAAAAAACAATAATTAGCAAGTTCATTTGGTACTGATCTTGTGGAATAACAGATTTTCTATAGTCTGTACTCAGTTTGGATAATATAATCCCATTTTAATATCTTGATTTTTACAGTGATATTGCAGGTATTGTTTTACCTTCTACAGGACACTTGAGCACTCTGCAGACCACTGCAGGACGAGCTGTGGTGCTGAAGATGGCACTGGAGTTCTTTCTGGAGTTCTCATAGGAGTTCTCTTAGGAGTTCTCTCTGGAGCTCTATCTGGAGTTGTCTCTGGAGCTCTATCTGGAGTTATCTCTGGAGTTGTCTCTGGAACTCTATCTGGAGCTATCTCTGGAGTTGTCTCTGGAGCTCTATTTGGAGCTATCCCTGGAGCTCTGTCTGGAGTTCTCTTAGGTGTTCTTTCTGGAGTTATCGCTAAGAAAGAGAAAGAGAAAAAAAAACGAGCACACTCCACCCACAACATACCAAATACCAAAAAAATAACCAGTTCTCTCCTTCACTGTCTTAGTTTAGATCAGGTTTTAGGAACAAGCTGATCTGTGCTTTGTTGGGGTGATTCATAAAGTTCTGAATGTTTTAACTGCTGAATGAAGTTAAACTGATATTGCAGAGGATGTTAGAAGTGCTACTTTAAGCAGAACTACATTCACATGTAAAGTTTTTCCTTTTTTCTGAACATAACGTGTTCTTTTAAGTGGTAAGTGAAGGTAAAGGGCACATGAATGAATGAATGAATGAATGAATGAATAAATGAAATAGGTTCTTATCAGGTGTAGTTTCTCTCCTGGGCTCTGCTCAGTTGGCTAACTTTGTACTGTCAGAAATGCTGCAGCTGACATTCAGTAAATATCCCAAAGCACAGTAACATAAACTATGTATTATTATTATCAGCTCATGAAACGCAGTAGAAATCTCATCCGGATCAATTGCAGCAGTTCTCTCACTGAACAGGTGATCAAACAGGTTCCACTGTCTGTGAAATGTCCCACACAGCTAAGAGGGAGGTATTGAAATGGTTCTGCCATTCAAGTTTGACTGACTGTCTGTTTGTGCCTGTAGGTCAGAGGTCAGAGCTTTCAGGGAGAACTCAAAGTTGGCAATGCGCCTGGCCGTCAGCAGGCCTTTTGACTGTGATGGGAGGTTGTGGTGTGTTTGAGCAGGTTTATTCTTTCTGGCAGGATTTCCTCCTCAACTATTTTACAGAGAGTCACAATTACAGAAGCCCATTCCCTCCCAGGCAGAGGAGAAACACATTCACCTCTTTATTTTCTCCTTCTGTTTCTGGCAGCACTATGTCAAACTTTTGACTTAAAATAATTATATATTTTTATTATTATATAATAGCTATTATTTAAAATATAGTGGTATTTTTTTTCCTCAAACTTTTGACTTGTATGTCGAACTCTTGACTCACTTTCTCAAAATATAGACTTAGTAGCTTGAAATAATGACTTGACTTGCTACTCCAAAGTAAGGAGTTGTTCAATTTCAAGAAAGTAATTATTTTGAGATATTAAGTTAATATTTAGAGAAAACAAGTATATTTTATGAAGTCACTGTTTTGAGGTATTTTGATAAAAATCATTATTTGGAGATTCTAAGTCAGGGGTCGGCAACATGTGGCTCTGGAGCTGTCGCTGCCCTGTTGCGGCTCCACAGCAGAATTAGATTTTTAGATAAAAAATAAAATAATCCTCTTTTACAGTAAAATAAAGCTCTGCTGATCATTCAACACATTTAAATATAAATGGTCTTAAACGCTGGAGTTAATGTATAACTGTTAATTTACCCTTTAACCCTGAAGGTTCACGCGCAGACTGCTGGTCACCATAGCAACGCAGGTATTCTCGCCTAGCTAGTAGCTAACGAAACGGCAAAGAGATGGATTTAAGACGAACGTTGATAATTTAGAGACGAATGGACTTATTTACATTTAATTGACTTATTTACCACTCAGCTGGTTTCCTGACACGTTTAATCTGCAATGAGAAACTGCCAAACACTAAAAAGTCACGAAGCTTAAGTCATTTTTTCGTTTGGAATTTTCCGTTCCACCTTAAATGATGTAGCACTTACATTCTGACGGCCCCGGACCATTTAAGGTGGAACGGGAAAATTCGAACATGAAGCTACCGAATGAGAAGCGACTTCAGCCTCGTAAAAAGTCAAACATTGAGAGACATTTCATAAGAAACTATTCTACTTCTGAGGAAAAGTTTTCTGATGCGAGAAAAGCAGCTACAGCTGAGGTAAAGCTTAAAGCAGAGCAGTCTGCGTTTTCGTTTATGTTAACTATATTTGTTAGCTTATGCTAGTACATTAGCACATTTACAGCCAAGAATGTAAAATGAACCCACGTCAATATCTTGAAAAAGGCATTACTTTGATATGCTAATTCAGCTAATTAAGAAAATCAGTCATAAATCAAAAGATCCTAAGCTGAAATCTTGACGTATTGCTGCCAGAAACAGAGCAGGAGAAAAATAAAATGAGCTTATATAATTATAAGATGTACCGCAGACAGTTTTATTAAGGATTCTGCTGTAACAAAAAAATAAAAAGTGACTCAAAAAGTTGATATTTTTATCATATGCTAATGTG